GAATATTTTAAACCAAGCCCTAATTACATGCAATTTTAAGCCAGCTGACAGATAGCCTTTTAAAAACAAGCTTGTCACTTTGACATATCAAGTCTCAAAATGAAGACTGCTTTTTGCATATAGAATTTCTCTGTAAGAGTGAGAACTTGCCACCAAATTGTTCTTTGAACATGTAACAATAAAACTGGTCGCTATGCTTGTTTGTAGCAGGAACACTTCAACATACTTTTTATAAGACCATATATTAAAAAATCATGGAAGGGTAGGAGGCTTTTAGTTCTGCAGTTTCATTACTGAAAATTGTTGTTATCTTGCTGAGCATGGTCCTGAAAAAGGCATTTTTCTCTATTATAATTTCTGTTGATTTCTTAATCTCATTTTGAATCTGCATTTTATATCTTAGTTCCAGATCAACAGTAGATTATAGATTGGCATAACTGTAATAAATAACACACCCCTCACTATGGTGTGTCCAGAATTCCACACTCTAAGATCTAAGGGTAATTGACTTAAATATTAGATTGAAAAGACCCCAGAACTCCTATGTTTGCTAGGTCAATGCTCTGAAGAGTATGTTCACATCTTTCTGTTACCTGTTTCTGTGGAATTTTTGTTAATTAGATTTTCCAGCTAAGTGAAGAGTAGGGATTGCAGCACTGTGATGTTGTCCTTCTGTCCCTGTGGTCATCTGTCCAGTTCTGTAACTGTATCTGCAATGTGTCTCCATTTCACTGTGAAAGCTCCTTATGTCAGGAGCTTTCCAGCTCCTCTGCATTTCCAGCACTTGTGACAGCACTGAGTACATTGCACTAATGGGCTCAGTGGAAAGCAGTCCACTAGTTTGAAAATCTGTTCTAAAATATTATTGTGAGTAGTCCAGAGGAAAAAAAACCCAAGGAAATTAGAGAGGGATTTGCTAAAAAATACCTGCATATAATCCAGGCCAGAAGAGTATTTTTCAGGGCAATTTACTAACTTATTATAATACAGTTAATTTGTGTAACAGTATGAAATACTACTAATTTTTGAGTTTCTAGAATATGTTACAACTTGTCAAAGAATCATTCTATTAACTATGAAACCACTTCTTTCCACTGGCCCCTGCTCTTTACCAAGGCACTGTTCTTTTAAATGGACTTGAACATCTGCTATGTACTCTGTCCATGTGCAACACTTCCCCCTCTGGCAAGAGTATCCTGCCTCTCCTGTCCCTGGAGGAAAAAAGATCCTTTCTTTTTTTTCCTTTTTTGTCTTCTGTGCCTTTCTAGGACAGAAACGTATCTCTCCTACTGTCGCTCTCACACCTTTGCCAGGCAGCTGTAAAGATAACATCTCATCTTTTTCTTTCTCTGTAGAGCACTTTTAGTCAAAGTGCTTTTTTATGTAAGAGTGTGCTAACCTGATGAAGATATTTTCATTTCTTCTTCACAAGTCTTTCTCCATTTATATGTTAGCCATTTTTGTTCAGCTATCCTTGAATCTGTATGGTTGAGCAAAAACCTTCACTAATTTATATGTTTCAGGATTTCAGGAGGGAAATGTCATATGCAGCAGGAACTGCAATCCTTTTCTGCCAGAGTGTGAATTCAGAGATTTCTGACAGCTGACTTGCTCCAAAAGTCCCAGTTTGAAAATAGAATTCTTTTTTTTTATGTTATTAAAAGCAATCTCTTAGAAACAACTCTCTCAGGTAGATTTCGAGCGAGATATGCTTCTGCATTATTGTAGCTGAATGTGGGTTATAGCTTATGCTTATTTTATAAGCAAAAACTTGTCACAGGTATGAGAACTGACTCAGAATTTGATGTAGTTATTACCTGACAATGCTGCTGCTGTTACTGTGCATGATCTGGGTGAGTCCTGCAGTCAGCTTTGGCCTGTAACTGGCAAAGGCTGCCTTCAGAGCAGTCTGTGCTGCAAGTCTTCTTCAGCTGTCACCTGGGAGTAGGTTTTGGCAATAATAACAAATCAGAAGATGTGAGCTAGAAGAAGATGCCTAGGGAGGACCTGGGTCAGAGAACAAAGTAATTTTGGGATGATTTCTGCTGTATAGAATTAAAAAAGAGATGTAGGAACTTGTGGCTGCCAGGGCCTGTGCATTGCCATGTTGCCTGTCCTACTGTGCTGTCCTCCTTCCAGCTATTGCTCTGAGAGGTATATTCCTGTCTCTCCAAAGTGATCCATTCTTCTGCTTAGAGGTTGCAGCTTCCTCAGCAGGGTGATGTTAGGTTTTCTTGCTGCAGAACTGGAACATCTCATGCTACTGCACTGGGGATGCACAAAGCAGGGCAAGTCTACTGCTCCCATGGCTGAGCCTGCAATTCCCAGCAGCAATTCACTGCTTGGGTAATGTATTCCCCCAGATGAGATGCTGGGTCTCTCATCTGTCACTTGACATGGTGGGTAAAAGAGCTGAGGCTGTCCCATTTCACTGCACCTTATTTGCCCTTTGGAAAGGAGCAAAGGGAAGGACTGCATCCTTGGTAAAATATTTTGGAAAACTAATGGTTTAAAACTGCTGGTGCTTTGGTATTCAGTGAAACACTTGGTTGAAGATGGACTACTGAAGAGAAGTCAAAGAGTTGCAAAACAATTTTTAATTATTACATACAAGCTTAGGTCAGAATATGAATATTTATTGACATGGAATGGTACTTTTGAAAAGTTAAAATCCTAAAGTAAGTTTGAGTACAGAGTACAGTCCCATTATTTTTTTCCATATGGCTGAACTACTAATTGTCCTTAGAACACTGTAAAGGTGGCCATAAGTCTTTACCATCGACTCATGTATGTGTGCTTAAAAGTTGACTGGTCACAGACCTTGGGTATTGGTACGTGCTATTTAGACCCTAAAGAGTATTCTTTTGAGAAGAATGGAATAGTGTCTATCTAAAGAAAGGCAATATTTCAGCAGTGTGGTGCAGGTTGGAATTTTATGGTCCACCTTCAGAACACAGTGTGTTATAGTAACTTTGGGCAGATAATTTTCTGTGATTTTAAGATGAATGAAAGTTCTATGAGCTGCTCTCTTTTTATTAGCATATCATAGCTTGTAAGGCATGCTGTGTTAGTAAAGGCATTTCTCACAGGGAATGTTAGTCTTCTTAACAGTCTTCCAAATTTATGACAAGTTTTTAGTCAGTACAGCAAAGAAACAACTGGCATGCATTTTTGTACATTCATAGAAGTCTTTAATTGGCTAACAGACATACCTCAGTATTATTCCCAGGAACTAAACATGTCTTGTACTCTGGCAGTATTCTTAGCCTGAGAAACAGATAACATGCAATAGCCAGTGAGTCACTGTGCCCAGCACTGCTTTTCCTTCACAGTGGTTTTAAGGAGGACAAATGCTTTGCTTTCCCAACTCTGTGTCTAATTTTAGTATGCCAGTGGGCCCGAGGACTTTCAGGCCACCTTCTCAGATAATGTCATCCAAAACATTCAAATGTTCAAAATGGCTGGGTGTTACTGCTGTGCTGTCTGACATTGTATCTGTATATAAAACATCTCCCATTCTTTGTGGATAAATACACAGGGGCCCTAAATGGACATAAGAGAGATTTGTCTTGTTACAAAGCAGAATGTGACTCCTGGTGTATTTGCGACAGTCATAAAAGATCCATAATCTGTTCTTTTTATGCTTTTGCATTACTGGGCTGCTAAGGGTAAATGTCTGTCTTGAAAGGGAGTTAGATCTAGGAGCTCAAAATATCTGCTTTTGTATTTTCTTAAAAGACAGGTGACTTGTCCAGAACATGCATCTCTCTCTCCTCTGTTGTGTGTACGCACACAGAATAAGAAAAAAATGTGAATTTGTAAGTAATATTTTAGTAATTTTGTTAAGGCACCTCTTGTCCAGTCTTATGACCACATATATTTTGCATCATAAGTCACGACTGAATTTGACTTTGCTGTAATTTTCTGCTGTTTATAGAAGAAATCCCTTGTGCTCTCTATAAACTATTTTAAATAAGTCTTGCAATCAGCAAAAGCATCAATATAAACTGATTTAAAGCTAGTGTGAGAAACTTTAGCTACACATATAAATGCAGAAAAGAAATCAAAGCTTGTAAAGATCAGTAACATATATGTTTTGAAACTTGTAGATTTGTTTGAGTCAGCCTGCCAAAGACAGCATTTATTTCCTTACAGTCTTTGGTATAATAGTGCTGCATGCCCAAAGTCATGTAGCAGTGTGTTTAGAAGTGATGTGTTCCCAAGGTTTTTTCCCTAATATTTTAACCCATTGTTCTTATGTGCTTAAGCTGGACCTAAAAAACTTTATATATGTGGTTTTTCATGTAGTGCTGTATTCATGAGGGAAAAAAAGAAAAAAGGAATTTTTTTGTGACTGTAGATGTAAAAAAATAGCATTTTGTGCAAATAAATATTCACTTTAAAAACTGAAAATTTAAATGTTTGTCAACTCAAAATGTCTTCAAATTGAATCTGTTGTGTCATGAAGTAGTAATGAAATTGCAGCCATATTACCACATGGTTATTGGACAATTGCTTTACAAAACATTGGAAAGTGAAAAAGAGGAAACAGGTTATTACTGTGATTTCAGTTATTTCCCATTTGGTACTGAAAACCTATCACACAGTGTGTCTGCTTTAATTCTTTACTTAAAATATGTTTTAAGATATAAAACTCTAAATTCATTAAACTTTATAGAGATAGAAAGTGACATGATTGATTGAATTCAGTGTTACCTATTTTCATGTCCAAAATTTCCCATACCCAAATGAAAATCAGAAAAAGAGGTATATAATTTCATTTTGAAAATTATCACTGCAAAATTGTTTTTTCCAGAAAGAAAATAATTGAACTACAATAAAAAAATTATGTATTTACAATAGCTTGATCCATCTTCTAAAATAAGCAATTCTTTATATATGCAATTAAAAGTGTTTTCATATTTAGTTACCTGCTAATTAATTTTTTTTTTTTCAGCATTTGTCTATGACAAAGTCTCTCTTACATTTTTTTAACACAGGTATCTAACCATTCCAGAACTAATATTTTCTACAACCAGAGACTGAAATGGCATGACTGGAGTTTTAAGTAATTTGGCTTTGGCAGTTTCACCATTTACTGCGAAGTTGGAGCAGGATTTGAACTCTATTTCTGCACTATCCTAGGTTATAATGCCATCCTTTCCTAATGAGGGAGGTATGCTAATCTTGGATTTTTAATATACTCTATGAATTATTCAGTATGTTTGTACCTATAAATTGTTATAGAGTACTGTTTATATTTTTAATTAATTTGTATATGTTATTTGAGATATAAAAATGTTGATAGTTACAACATTATTTTTCAAAGATAACCATGGAACTACTCCTCTGACTTTGAGTTCGGAACTACCCTATCAGAGCACAATTAAAAGAAAAGTCAGAAAGAAGAAGAAGAATGGAGTCATCACTGCCAATATTGCTGGCACAAAATATGAAATTGGTAGGAAGCTGCATATTTTGCTTTCATGCTAATAATGTTTGATGTGAGTTACTGATTAACGGACTGAAGTAATGGACTCAGCATCAGGCTGACAGTGAGACATTTCTGAAAGTTTCTTTTGTAAGAAACCTGGGGTTTTCTTGTAACATTTAATTCATAGCATTGGATATTGTGCATCTCTTAATCCCCATTTGTTACTCATATTGATTCCCACTTGTTACCTTGAAACATAAAAACTTAAGTGATCAAGAAGGCTGTGGAAGAACCTTCTAAATACGTGTTATAGATGTGTTTGGAATTTTACTTAAAACCTTGAAAGAGGATCAGTGTAAATTCAATTTTAAATACTCTAATTATTATACAGAGGCTTCTCAGTAAAATCCATTAATGTCTTGTATTTTCATGTTCAGTGCTAAAATATTTTTTTCCTAGAATCAGTTATGCATGGCATGTAATCAGTCTTTTTTTTTTTTTTTAATTAAAATAATGCATGCATTTGCTTTTACAGCACTGTACCTTCCCTAAGGAGGCATTTTTGTCCCTATCTGCAGTGACACTTATAGTCATCACTGTTTTAAAATTAACTTATGGCATAATGAAGATTAACTCTAATTGCTGTACAAGAGGATTTTTGTTGGCTGATTGGGGAATACCTTGAAGCTCTCTGTAGTTCCCTTCAGTGGTTGTGCTGATTCCTGCCTCACTATAAGGTGCTGTAACATTGTAATGGCAGGTTTGCAATAGACTGATGGAAATATTGCAAGATAAATAGCGTGCAATGCTAACATTGTTCTCAGACAAAGGGTTCTATATTGGAAGTGTTTAAAATCTTAGTTGATTTTTAAAATGTTGAAAATTAATCTATTTTAGAGATTCAAAATAGCCCCTAAGAGTGTGATTTCTCCATAGTGCGTGTAGTAATACAAGAGATGGGATTTGTGAAAACGCGTGATGAGGATGAAACAGCAAATCTGATCTGGAGTGATTGTGCTGTGCAGCAGGAGAAGATTGCTGAGCTGCGGAACTATCAGGTGCACTGGCAGTTAAGATTTTTGACATGTTTCCATAAACTGCTTTACTCTGAAATGTTCAGTAATTGTCAGGAACTGCTCAGTTCCATTTGTGTGGAGGGGAATAAAACCCCACACAAACCACAACCAAACAGGCTGCATTAAGGCTGTACCACTGCATAGCTTAAAATCTTATTCTCTTTTTCTAGAGTTGTTTGTTCTTACCACTTGGAATCTGATGTATAAATATATGGGGCTGTTCTTTCATGCTTTTTTCTGCCAGTTGGGTGTTGTGAATGATCAATTTAAAGAAGATACAAAACATCATTTATAAGTTTCTCATAAGCTTTGAAGCAGTAAGTTAAGAATCAGAGCTCTCTCTCCAAAGTCCTGTGAATAAATATTTTGGTTTTTTTACCATTATCTTGTGTTTGTGTTCTTTGTTTCTAGATAGCTTTGTGAATAAAAGTATGATAGTCTTGTGTATGAAATTAAATCAATAGGCACTTATATGGATGGAAGAAAATACAGCTTGCAGCATCTTTAGCATTGTTAAGAATAGGTAGTATGGTGTAAGATATTATCTTAAATAATTTAGATGTAACAGTACTTGTGTTTGCCTGAGCATGCAGTTGAATGTTTTAAATTATTGTAATTAGGTATGCCAGAAAAGCTAAAAAGTTTCAATTAATTTTCTTTTTTTTATCTACTTCCTCAGAGAATTAACCATTTTCCAGGAATGGGAGAGATATGCAGAAAGGATTTCCTGGCAAGAAACATGACTAAGTAATATTTCTTTTAATATTAAGAAGTTTTCCAGTGGTGGTATTTAATGCAGTAATATACAGAACTATTGCTTTTGAGGCTTGTTTATTTCTACTAAAAAACTAGGAGAGGACCAAGAATAATTTTCAAAGTTCTTTAATAACTTTATATTTGGTCCTGGATCTGTAGTATTGGAGTGGGCTACTTGATTTCTTCAATTGATTTCAGTGGAGTATTATGTGGGTTCACTTCTCTGTCTAAACACTGCAGAATGGAGGCGAGTCTTGAATTATTGTACAATAAGCCTAATACATAACACACCCACGTATGTATCCCATAATAGTAGAACAGAATAAAAGAACTGTATGTGACTGGATAGGGCATCTGGACTAGTCTGTGCAGTGTGCTCAAGGATAGCCCTGCTTCATCTGGAACACTGGACCAGAGGACCCACTGAAGTCCCTTCTAACTTGACCAATTCTGTGACAGTACTTGTTTAAGATAGTTAATGACTATGTTTTTGTGTATATCAAATTTTAAAAATATGAAGCATCTTACTGTTTATATAAGAAATTAGTCAATGAGGCTCATTTGTCTAATTACAAATTCTCCTCACTCTAGTGGAATAACTGGGTTTTGAGGAGTTATCCTAGCTGAGAATCTGTGAGTAATACCTGTAAGAAAACAATACTAATGATCTGATAGCCTAGTAAGGAAAGGTTTGAGGGTAAATATATGTCAATATTTTATTCTAATCTAAATTAGTTTGTAGAGCAATTATTAATAGAGCTAATCTTTTGGCCCTCGACCTGACTTACACAACTTAACTGCTAACAGAACAGAAATTGGTTTTATATGAATGTAATTAATGTGATATCTTTTCCCTCTCTCTCTCTTTCAATTTCTTTCTCTTTGCTTTTCTGTTCTGTAACTGGAACACATAAAATATAGAATGTATGCAACTATTATGATGCAAAATTGTGTGCATTGCTGGGGTGTCTCCATGTCCTACGTGTGGACTAGAGCTCCCCTGTGTCAGTGGTGCTGCACCAGCACTTTTCACTGCCCCTCTCAGACTGAAAGTAAAAACAGATAGCACATGGAGGCAAACAGCTATTTGGAGAGGTCTTGAAACAGTCCATCATCTTGGTACACAGTGTATTGCTGCAATTCTGTGATCTTTAAAAAAAATATGGGAAATGGACAAAAGGCTCTTGTTATCATGCACTCATTCTTTCAAATACAGTCTGATGATACTTCTCTCGGCCTACTGAATTCTGAGTTCAAAATGCAGTTTAAAGTTACTCAGTGCTGAGATTGCACATACAGTTAAGATGGGAATAATTTCTCTTACACTATAACTCTGGGTGGAACATCTATGTTGTGACTTCACTTAGTAGATATAGCAGGGCTTAATCAATTGGGTTTTTTTTCTCAAACTGGCCTTCACAATTCAATACTTAGTATTCATACTTTATAAAAATCAAAATTATATGCCTTGAGATTGCTGGTGAGATCGTAAGTCAGTTCTGATACATGGTTGCGCAGGCTTTTTCCTGTAGAATCATGATTTTGAACAGGCTTTTGTTCTGTCTTAAAATTTGGATGTGTAGAAACACTAATTCTCTTGTCTTGTTTACTGCAGCATGCCATCTTTTCTATTCCCATTACTGACTCTACTGTTTACCATCATTGAGAGATAATGAAACTATATTGAAAATTGATAGAGAGTAGACTTCTCTTTCACTTCCGTGTTTGTTGTTTTACTGATTTCATCCTTACACCCTTATGCAAGTTGTTGGGAATAAAGTGAAAGAACAAATCTACCTTACTTTGAGAGGAAAATGCTATTCAGGAGATAAGGCACTTCAAGAGTTATTTTTTCAGGTAATATCCAGGCACTCTGGATCACAGGACCATGTGGTTTTCACATGCAGAAAGGTGGAACAGTGTAATACGTAACATGTGTAATATGAAAGAAAACAACTCAGCAAAGAAAGTATAGGAACACAGAATAATGGAACAGATGGAAAGAGGAATGTAATTGAGGAAAAAAAAGGCAGGTATAAACATAATTTTCAAGGATAACAATAAGAACACAGAAAAAGAAATAATAAAAGAAGTGCCATTGTAGGGCCAACTAGATCTTAAGAGATGGTTGTGAAGGGTCTCTTAGATGAAACTTCTCGTGTGAAGGATCAGTGTGGTTACAAAATTAATTCAGTAAATGGGAGAGAAGGTGCACAGGATGAGTGGCAAGGGGCACAGATCCATCTATGCAATATTGTTTTTTCCAGCATCTTTGTTGATTATATTTAAAAGGTTAATGAACTGGTAATGGGCCAAGAATCATTCTCATCCATACATAGCCACTAACTTTTCATATCTGAAAAGTCAGAGGATTTTGAAATTTAGGCAGTGGAATCTGTCTTTTTAGACTGAAGGTTGTGCCTGTAGTGAGCTATGTTTTGTTCAACACCATAGATTCTTTTGAACAGAAAGCACTTTGAAATCAAGAGCACAGTCTGACCACATTTGTGAGCTAAAATAGTACTCAGAAGAACAATGATTTGCTGTTTATTTCTCAGACCTCCTGATAAGGACATCAAAAGCTAAAGGATAGAACAGCACAGTGAAAAAGTGGTTACTCATAGTAGTGGACAGCCCATGTGCTGAAAAATAGGGCAATTGTAATGGAATAGGCCTTCATTTCACAGGCTACTTAATGATGTTCCTAAGCCTTTTCTGAATAGGGCCTTGCAGGGAAGGAACAGAGCTGAATTCTTTTTTTGAAAGTTTTAGTGAGCCCCAGAACCTATAAACAATGCTGAAGTATTCCACTTCATAATATTAAGTGTTTGTATGCATTAAACAGATAAGGCATATAGAACTGTTATACTTTCAGTCACAAAATAATATCAATATATCAGGAATAGCTTGAAGCTATATTCAATGAGTAGGGAATGTGTATATTGAAACCCTTGAGTAAGTTAAATTACAGGTCTCTAGCACGTAACAGTATGCATATGATAAATAATCTGGAGAGGGATTTAAACTAACACAGAAATTGCTTTTTGCCTAAAAATAGGATAATTTCTGCCTAGATAAGGTACTCAGTTGGCAAAGTAATAACATTCATAAAGACAGAGCAGATGGAGAGTAGTTTAACAATACAAATGAATCAGAAATTCAAATATCTACTTCTGTTTTCAAAAAGTTTTCCTGAATATTTAGTGGCTTTCGTTGAACTAGATTTGTAAGAATAATAGTTACAATGAAGCTGCAGAAGCACTGAACCTCATGCTGTACTGCTGTAGCTATTGTGGTTTCTGCAGTGTCTGTTGGGTTGCTGGCCACACTGTTTGGTGACAGTGTATCCATTATACCAGTAGGGCTTGGCTACCGTCCTAGCCCTACACATGTGGCTGAAAAAAAGCTCTGTTTTTTCCATTAGTATTTTAGCCACTTAAAGGAAAAGTATCTGCCCAAGAGTATTATGTAAGCTCATGGTAGAAATGAAAAATGGAAATTATATTGCTTTTTTAATATATTAGTTATGCTGATGCTATTAGTTTTCAATACAAAAGGAGATCTATACGTAAATCTGTATTTAATTAAAAAGTATTAAACTTCACAATAGTGACATTAAAAAAAAAAAATCAAAGTTGGGGAACTTCCTGTATCACTTAATTTTTTTTAAGCTTCCAGTTTCTTTCTGTTGGTCTGTGGGTATTTCTATTTTAGATATGTCCACTCTATGCTACAGAGTAGTTGTGAGTTACCTGAACTAATTTCGTATGAGTTTCTGTATGAAGGAAGTTTCAGGTACTCTTGAATACATGAAATGAGCTAGATGCACCAGTATGGAACTCAGCAAAGACTAAATTTATCCTGTTGGGACCTATGATGCCAGTGTGCATCACCGAGTTCCCATTGCTCCTATTTCTTGGCTGCTAACCAGCGTTAAAGGAAGTCATGTGTGCCTCAGCCATACTGACAGCATGCTGTGGGTGTGACTTCCTGACTGCCACATACACAGCTCTGGGTGATGGAAACTTCTGCTGCCTGGATTCTTTACCATTCTTCTTTCATTTTCTTCACAAACGACAGAGGTATAGAATGAGATACACTCCTACCTCAGCTGCCACAGCTATTAAAGCAGGGAGAACAGGACCTTGCTGCATCCTTTCCCAGAGTCAGAGTTTGATTCCCTATTTTTATTTTAGTTCTTCTGTTCTGCCCCTTCACCCTACTCTATCCTTGCTTGATTTTGTTTTGAATGTCTTTGTTTTCTTTTGATAAAATTAGGGGCTCTTGGAATCTTAACCCAAATATACTGGGATCAATGACAAATCAAAGCTTGTGTGATTTGTCCTGTATAGGAAAAGAATGAGTTGCTTGGCTTGTGACAAAGTCTATTTACTACAATTCCTTATTTTCAAAATTCTTTCAAAAGGAACAAAAAACTCTTCCTTAGTTACTTCCAATTGCTTTTTAATTTTAAATTCAATCTTATTTGCACACAAGAAGAAACTTTAAATATCCCAACACCTCTTTTTTGTGTCTGTTGATCCTCATAGCTCCCCAGACATCTACCAATATGAAAATTAAAATACTTCCCAAATACTACCACCCCCACACAAAAAAAATCCATTGTTTGTTATAAGTTCAATATTTCTGAGAGTAGAAATTACATTGAGTCATCTGAATAAATAGCCAAAAATTATAACAGGAGTGAGATGGATGTCAAGAAACAAGATGGATACCAGTAATATAATAAGCACATAAGCAAAAATGCTCAAGATAGTCTGCTTTTGAATATAACACATCCATACTCATATGAATATATAATAGAGCTCTAACTATTCTTAAAGAAAAGCAAAAGTTTGCTTTCATATTACAGAATTTTGCTGAAAAAGCTTCCTTCTCAAATTGTCATGAGTACTTTTTAATCTTGAGGATTGAAACATCAAAGTAGTTAAAAGATTTTAACTCAATTACCCTTTTTGTGCAGAATGATCAAGAGCCAGCCTCAGGAGTACAGTTTCATTCCTCGAACATGGATCTTTCCTTCAGAATACACACAGTTTCAGAACTATGTAAAAGAATTGAAGAAGAAACGTAGACAGAAAACCTTCATAGTCAAACCAGCTAATGGTGCAATGGGACATGGGTGAGTTTTGATTTAACTTCAGTCTTCTTACCTGTTAAAGGTGAAATCCAGTGCTACTTACAACATTAACAGTAGCTGTGTATTAATAAGAAGATTGTATTTGGAGTTATGTGAAAGTCAGTGTATTGGGTGAAGGCTTCACAAGCCTTAAATAAACTCAATTATTATAAACACAGTTATTTTATTGTGAATTTTTCTTCTCTGCTTAGATTTATAGGGTGAGATTGTATTGGGCATAAATGGCAGGGTCTTGGTGGCTGGAGGCTGCAGGGATGTGTGTGGGAGGTCCTGATCTTTCACAGTTTAAAACCAGTTCAAACATCCCATTGAGTTCCCAAAATGCAGCCAGTCTGAGGAGAAACGTGTTTGAGAGCAGCAGCCACAAGGTTTAAGAGAGGCAGAGGAGATGCTGTTGGGGATGTGGCTGGATGTGCACTCTTGGAAGCAGGGCACACCCCTGAAAAGACTGCAACCTGCAGTTGAGTTGAAGAAGTTTTATTTGTGACAGGGCTGCACAGTAAAAATCTAATGACATAAATATTGAAATTGTATTTTAAGTTTTTTTTTTTAGATATTTTTGTTTTAGCTTTTATTGCTTTTAATATCAATTTGAATTATACTATATAGTAAAGCTGTTAGTTTTTCAGCATATGTCAGAATTACTAGAAAAGTAAAGCTCCTAATCTTCTCAATTTCTTCATTTTTCAGTCCTCTTGATAAGGGCTAAGATAAGCTAAAGGGAAAGGTACCAGCATAGTTCAGAGAAATTTCTGCAAAATACTTCACTCTATTAGGAGTATTCAGTACCAAACCTCTGAAATGTATAACAAATAATAGAGAATAAGATTAAGGTAGTATTAAGGTTCTGGGAATTTTAATAATTGTATACTGAAAATACTAGCTTCTGCAGTTATTTAAAATCTGTGTGGTTAGAGATTAGAAGTTCACAGTTCATATATAAACCTTTTTTCATTCTGGTGCAAAGGAACTGGAAATACAGAAATACTGAGCTTAATCTATGCCATCCTCAGTCACACAGATCAGTGTCCTGCTTTGCAAACTTCATCACCTAAGGTTAGCACTGAAAGTTCTTTGCAGCCTGTGCCTTGAGCAGAAGTTGTGACAAAGACTGGAAGTCTATTTTTAGAGCTGCATGAGGAATAATCACAGAAGCTGGAGACTGGTCGTTCTGCCAAACAATTTCTAAGTGTAGAGCAAACCCATTATTACAAATTGTTGAATCAAAGCAAGCAGAAAGTTACTTTGAAATGGCTTGTTGCCTTTTTTCATCTAGTGAATCACAATTAAGGACAGGAAACCAAAAGCCTTGTAAGGAATTGGAACTTTTTCTGTGCCCTAAAAATCAGATATTTCTCTTTTTCTAGGTAGAATTTAGCCTCACTACTTGGCTGGGTGACCACGATAATTTATTTCAAACAGTAATGTCCAAGTTTTAAAATAACTCTTGTTTTTACCAGGATCTCTTTAATAAGAAATGGAGAAAAGTTACAAGCTCAGGATCACTTAATTGTTCAGGAATATCTTGAAAAACCATTTCTTATGGAAGGCTACAAGTTTGATTTACGTGTGTATATTCTTGTAACCTCCTGTGATCCATTAAAAATATTTCTATATCATGATGGACTGGTGAGAATGGGCACGGAAAAGTATCACCCCCCCAGTGACTCAAATTTGGTAAGTTGGAGTTCATTCCAATTTATTGCTTATGCTGTAGACTTTAACCTATGTAGTGTTTGCAGGTGGTAAAATTAAATAAACTAGGACCTGAGTTAATCTGGATAGACTTCTGCATTGTCATTGAAGAGAACAAATTTTGTGTGAAAGATACTTAACGCATGGTTTTCTATTAAAATCACAAGTATAGCTGCATTATTGCTCATATATAAAATTTTATATGACTTTGCATGTATGCATGCTAAAGAGTTTAAATATATTATAGAGGAAAGCAAAAGATAACAATCCAAAAAGTAAAATCAAATCACTGCAAGAACAGGCACATTGTTTTCATGTTCATCTGAGACTGAGGCTGGGCTGGCAGGGGCTAATAAGGTTTATCTCTTGCTAGATCATTGCTTAGCATCCATGAAGTTTGGAGCCTTTGCTGAGGCTCCTGCCATTGTGTTGGGAACATAGGCAGGAAGGAGAGAACTGAAGGGCCCAGTGCTCACTGCAGTCCCTGAAGATGAGGGAATCTCCTGATGCTGCTGCTGTTTGTCAGTGACTGCTTCAGCAGGGACAGGAGTATGTACTTGGCAGCTTTAGGGTGAACCAGTAGGGCTGCCTATAAACACAGAGAAAACCAAGAAATGGTAAGGGTCATGCCAAAGATTTTGCACAATTTCCTCCTCTTGTTCCACTTTATAACATGTTGCCCTGTGTAAACCTCTTGGCTCAGACTAAAATGCAGATGTCTAAGAAAGAAGTAGATTTGCAGCATTGGAAGGTATGAGTAGATTAGATTTGTTACGCCTCACTCTGTACTCCATTGCTTTTAGAGCAGCTCCCATGTGATTATATAACAGAAAACACCATAGAGCTTTTTTGCCTATGTCAAACTTATAATTTTGACCATCTCTTGGTGTGCCTTTGAAAAACGCAGGTATAATTTGAGGCCCAGTACAAATGCTATATTTGGAAGTATTCCAGTCTATATTTGGAATAGTTTGCTTCTAATATTTGTGTATTGCTGTTAATCTCGGCATTAGCAGCACAGAAATATGCTCTGAGAGGATAAGCAGAACAGGCAGTTGTTTCTGTGTTCTCAGAACTGCTCATGCTAGAGGTTGTCGATTGTGTGAAATAACCTGCTTGTGACTAATGACATTGTTCTTTGGATGACATATTTCCACATTGGCATTATTTCAAATAACTTTTGACTATCAGTTCAGATGGCCAAACACTTTTTTTTTTTTTGGGAATTTTAAAACATGATTACTTTTCTCTGAAATAATTTGAATTTCATAGAATGATGACTCAAAACCAATAGATTTCAGAATGATTCTTAAAGGAGTAATGAAGCCATGGGAGAAATTAATTGCCAGTGTTACTACAATAAACTGTTAACTTGTTTGCAATTAAATGGATTGTTTTTGATAATTTCATGTCGTTTTTTAAAGATAAGAAAGTGGAGTAAGAGAAATGGCAGCATAAGGCTTGAGTTATCTATTAAAGATGAATTGGAACAGAAGGCTTATGGTCACCTTAGAATATCATCTACTGTCATGTATGTAATCAAACATGACAGAGAACTGTCACTGTGATGAGGACAGACATCACCATAGTGTAAGTGTAAAGGTGAATTAATCTCTGGGAGATAATGTAAATATAACAGATCATGGTTTATAAATTGGCCTTGGTAGAGGAAGGCTTTCTTTAAATTCAACTGATAACATGAGTCTATTGCTGGTGACATTTTGCTCCATAAAGGAACTGTAGCACTCAGTCATTTATGCAACGTATGTTTTGAAATTTACCTCCCTCTGATGTATGGCTACCAGCCAGTTAAAAATGAGCAATTTTGGCAGATATCAGCATGGCAGATGAGTTTATATGTAAAAGATATTTTAAAGTATCACTATCATGAGAACACTTCTCATAAATAAGCTACAGTGAAAACTGAAATGTGGGATTGTCTATGAAGCAGATGCCAGAGTGTCTTCTAGCGCTTTTAAAGTAGCACTTCAAAATACTGACTTTATTGTTTGCTTCTTGTGGGATGTAATAATTCTCTAAGTTATGATAAGTGCTCCTTACTTTTTTAGGTTGTTGTTTATATAGAGACCTGTAAAAATGGCAGATATAGTATCTAACCAGATGAGGAGTGGTGGATCAGTTTACTGCAACTGGCTTAAGAAGAAATGCAGAATCAGAAACACTAAATCTGCATGTAGTGTATTTGCAAATATGAGCTGTTTGATTATGTCTTTATTGATTGAATGTCATTTTTCTTTACATTATTTTGAATTTACTATTTTAGAATTGTTTTTAAAGTTTTTAAAATGACTTTTCTTCCTTTTTTTAGAGTCAATTGTATATGCATCTGACTAACTACTCTGTCAATAAACATAATGAACACTTTGAACGGGATGAAACAGAAGACAAAGGAAGCAAGCGCTCCATAAAATGGTTTACTGAGTTTCTAGAAACAAATAATCTTGATGTCTCCAAATTCTGGAGTGATATTTCAGTAAGATAGACTAAAGCACTTTATTTTATTTTGTGTATTTTTAGAAAATTAATTGCTTCTGCCATCTGCTTTACTGCAATTCAGAATGATTTTTGAAAATTTATTAACCCAAATTCTCATAAATGGATGTCACATTATTGTTATAATAAACTATTATTATGTTATTTAAAAGAATAAATTCATACTCTGATTACAAATTAAATGTTAGCATTTTTCTGAGGATCAAAAGTCCTCTTCCAAACAGTTATTCACGTAAGTAATACGATACAAAGGAATTATGCCATTTAAATTCTTAGAGACTTTATTTTAGTATATAAGGTGAATTTTATGTGTAATATTTACAACATTGTATTCGGTGTTGCATCTATCTTTGTACTTAATCAAGCACCATTGAAGTAGTTGTGTTACAGGTGTCTTTAGATGAGGAATAGACTTAAGTTTGTTAGAGCTTAAAGCTGTTTGCATGATTCTGAGAACACATCAAAAATTATACTGCAAAATGTAACGGATGAAGATTGGCTATACTATACTATGTTACCAATTTGCTTTTATTATTTAACTTATCTAAGTCTCAAAGTTTGTATGTATCATGAAAGTATAACAATAGTCTAGAACTATATAAAGTTATATATGGTGCTACATAGGAATAGTTTATTTACTATAGACTATTTATTTGGTATTTAAAATCTTTTTTCTAGTAGATATGTATATGAAATTTAAAATATTAAAGCAGGAAACACTGCAGTTCAGTATGTGCTGGTATTTTCTCTCCTGATGAATTTTTCTGAACCAAATCCCTGCAGGAGCTGGTGGTGAAGACTCTGATAGTTGCAGAGCCGCATGTTCTTCACGCTTACCGTATGTGCAGGCCAGGGCAAGCACCAGGAAGTGACAGTGTCTGCTTTGAAGTCCTGGGATTTGATATTCTGCTGGACAGAAAACTAAAACCATGGCTCTTAGAGGTAAACCTCTTCATACAGATGTGAAGTAGATTTTTAGGCATAAAGTTAACTAAGCTCCAGCTGAATCTGTATCTATGTAAGAAAACTTGCAAAAAACGTCTGTGGTCTGTTGAGTATATAAATGGTGAATTTCTGCTGCATCCATACAGAAGTGCAGTGATCACCTCATAGTGATTTTTGATACTGAAAAAAGGATAGTTGTTTTCCTAGACCGATGTTGCATTTCAGATGTTTTTGAAAGTTTTAATGGGAAATGTAATGTTAATGTAGTTTTTATTTTAGCTGGAGGATCTTGATTATAGCAAGTGGGTGCTGTGTAGATTTCCTTCATGAGTAATGTAATATGTATAAGGCTCTGTTAATTTTTCTGAATGTGTGCCCTTAATATTCTCCTTTTTGTGGATATGTGTTCCTTTCCTCTCCTGTGCTTTTTAAAAGCACAGCTGTAAACAGAGAAAACTAATTTGATATACGTGAAATTCTGCAAACAATTGGTATGATGGGATTGGAAGAAACATTTCTTCTCTGATATGTTTGTTAGTGGTACAGTTAAATTAAGTGGTGCTCACACACATTTTCAACCAGAAATGTTTGAACTTTGTCTGTTGTGTCTCTTATATTGCCCTATTAATAAGATATAGATGAGATTCACTTGCCTTTTTTCAGATTGTCTTATTTCATTCTGTTAACTGGCTGGGGGGCTGTGCAGCTTGGGGAAAGAAGCAAAATGTATTCAAAATCTCTCTATTGACAGCAAGTCATGAATATGATTTGGCAATTGGTGAATAAAATGTACACAGTTAACTTACTGAATTATAACCTAATTTGCAGGCCATTAATACTGTCAACAGTTGTTTTGTCGCGCTTATTTCTCTCAGGGATTCATTATAATTTTAATTAGAAAAATAAAATTCCTCCACTGTTGCCATGCAGACATAGCATATTTGGTGGCTTTGATGTTCTTCCAACAGCAGCACATGACATGAATTTAGTCTGTACTACATCAACATCTTCTGTTTTTGTCCAGTGAAGCTTGCTGTCCCTTTGATTTAGCACTGCACTTACAGATTATCATCTGTAGGTTGCCTGTAGCTTGCATATAACTGTGTCTAGTCCTTTAAGTGCAGACTGAAGGGTCTGTGTTACATTTCATTCAGCCTTGTAGCAAATGCTGACAGAGGAATTCTGTGAGAGGTGGTGACTCAGCCAGCATAGGGAGTCCATTCTGAAGGACACCTCTCTGTCTGCTCTGATGTTTCCATAAGGTATGGAGATTTGGGGGGATTTGAGACCCACTTACAGGTCTCAGAGGAAAATAATATTATCCCAAACTCCTTGTTTATGAGGGAGTAAGGCAGTAAATTCTCCTCTGGTATTTTGAGTTGCTGGAGAATACTTCAGGAACTGGCATTGTGTACCTAGTTATTACTTTTTTTAAAAGCAAAAGTCCAAGTATTTCCTTTTCTGCTTTTGGTAATACATGTATCCTTCAACTTGTTTTGCCAGACATTTACCAAAACTAACAGAAATTTCAAACTTTGAAACTTACTAACTTTGCATACTCATTTACTATTTTTACCTTGCTTGTTTGTGCTTCTTTGCAGCACTTCCAACAGTGTGTAGATGTATACACAATTTATGTATGCTGTATGTAGTGTAGTAAAGGTCAAATTTGCAGTGTATATACATAGACTATACATAATATATATATAGTCTGTATATATATGTATGCACATACATAGATAATTCTTTTTTTTCTAAAATGCTTCTGCTACTTCCACAGATTTCCACTCTTATCTCTTTCCACCATTTCCCTCTTGCCAAAACCCCTTAGGGGAGTGAATCATTCTTTCTAACACTGGTAACAAGTTCTAATCACAAGGCCCTGAATGTTCCCAGTATTACGGGAAAATTGCCAAAATAGGATTAGGATGATTAGTTTCATGTTTCCATGCCTCATGTAGCTTTTCTGTTATAAAGATAGCTTAACAAACTATTAAAAGAAATAAATTGTGCAACGTATTATAATGTCTCTGCTTTCCTGAGCTGACTTTTGTTTATATTGCCTTGATGCATTGTAGCTTCCCTGCTCCTTGGTGCTACTGAACTTCCGGAACCTTCTACCATAGTGAGGGTTGTGGGAAAGGCAGGATTGCCATCTTGTGGCACCAAGTGTTTCTGGCAAGGATCCGTGCAGCCTCCATTCTTTCTGAGTAGCAACAATGACCTAGACCTCCCTTTGATTCCCAGGAAATCCAGTTTTACTTTTTGACTAAAATTTCCAAATTAGTTTATGTGAAAGAAGATCATACGGTTGAAGTTCTTGGATGGACTCCAGCCATGTTCACCCTTTTTATATTCATTTAGGATCACAAAGTTGTGATCATTAGAGAAAAAAGATAACATGCATTTTAATAACTTCCTCAAGTGTAGGGTACCTAAAGTCCTTTGTGATTTATGTGGGCAAGGCAAAAGACACCTTATATTCACATTCAGAATTTATTATTTAGTGTCACTGAGCTAGCAAAACCAGTTCAAAACTTTGTTATCAATGCAGGTAAAATGAATGTGAACATCTTAAACCAATCAATTATTGCTAATTCCTATTAATGAAGTAGTTAAAGTTCACATACACAAACTTTCTGGCATCTGCTTATTTCTCCTGTGTTATGCTTGCCCTGATTGTACCCCTGGAGGTCCAAAGGCCACCATGGGATAGGAGAAGTCTACTTGAAAAAGAGATGGGTAGGTGGTTATACCAATTTTTCAGTGTCTTATGTTCTTCACCAGGAAGAGCACACTCTGGATGGTGAAGTTTTCTTCATCTTTGATCTTAATTTCACTTTGGGTTATTTTTCTTTGTTTACTGCCACAATCTACTTACTGACCATTTACTGGCTAGCAATTCCAAATTGTCTCTTAAGTTTTACTACAAGTTTTTTGTATCTCCTGGAATCATGCCATGTGCTTTCTTTGTTACCTCTAGGCCCAGTATTATCTAGTTTACAAGATTGCATTCCTGTAGTGAAGACAATTTGGCCACTGGCATCAGTGTCTAGATTTTCAAAGCCTTTGCAATCATAATTTGCTTGTACTTTTGGGGGGTCCCTCATACAATCCTGTTTTTGACAACAATCTTCAAGATGTGTCTTGCTGATAAAATGACCGATGTTTTATTAACACAACTTAGTTGTGCATGTCCTGGTTCTCGGGCCACTGAGCTCTAAATAACCATCTCCCAGCTGGCAGATGCACAGACAATGGTTTGGTAAGATGTTATTGTGAATAGCTATTGTGGCATATCACTAGCACGTTATCAAGATTACAATGCCACAGTTGTACAGATTAGTCAGCAACTGTATTTATTGTCTTCCTTGTTATATGATAGTAGATGAACAGGTCAGTCTAAAGAGGTTGGTCAATTAAATATTTATATGAAAGTCTTCAAAAAAAAAATAATATGTATAAATCTTTTCACTATTTCTGCTGAATTTTCAAGTTTTTTCTTTCAACATCAGATCTCACTGCTCACATTGCCAGTCTGTCTGGAAAAGCAGCGAAGGAGCTAATTCCCAAAGCTGAAAGGTACCTGTCAGTTATGAGCATAAGTGATGGGGCAGCTGGGACTCAGCAACAGGACACTGGGTGGCACAGCAGCCACGATAGTTCTGTCCCACAACTGTAGAAGCTCTAATATATTTAGAGTGCTAAAACAAAATAATCTGCTTTTGCCCTCTGCTTTGGACATGCAAACTGTCTCCCACTTCTGATTTGTGTGGGGCACAAGGTATTAGTTTTCACTTCTGAGGCTCTTTTTTATCTGTCCCTTCTGTGATCAGCACTGCTCATTCACTATCAAGGTGAGATTCCTGACTGTGATTAGCACCCATTACTCAAGTATAAATTTTTATACCAGCCTGGAAAAAGTCCCTAGAATAAATCATTATTCCTCCTCAAATCTTCCTGAAAACTGAGGCTCTGCAGGGAGTCCAAAACTTGTCAGGGTTATAGGATGTTAAGTGTATGATTTAGTCTCACTATGAGATTCCCAGTTGCATTCTCCTTGTTTCTCTGTATTTATAGTACAGTTTTTAATCTCTAATCTTGTAAGCTTGTGAGCTTTTTTGTTGCGGAGGCTGTTAATTATCTTATGTTTTCACACTATGTACTGATTTAATGACTTAGATCTCGTATGTGTTGCTGTCAAGTGTATCTGAAAAGTTATTTAAATATACTTAAAAAGACCTTGGATTAGAGCCTCTTTCTGTCCTTGTATAGTTGTTACTTTTTAGAGTAGTATTTAAAGTTATTTTCAGACTTGGAACTAGAAAAGAGTTTGACTCTTTCTGTGCTGGACCACCATAGCATGGCACATCATCTGTTATGATGTGTTTAACAGTACTTTATGTGGTAGATTTTCTGGTGGCAGCAACCAAGAGTAGATTAGACTGGATGCACAGGGGCAGAACTTGAATGGTGTTCACTATAAATGTCTGAATGACCTGGGGACCAAAAGGGTACATTTCCCAGCTCCCAATATCTGTGATACTCAGTACTCTATTTAAAAAACATACAAATGGAAAAGAACCTCTCAACACGTATTTCCTTAATCTCTGCTGTATTTGAAAGAGCCATTTCTACAAAGCCTGTTACAATAGGTGTGTTCCCAGTGAACCTGAACATTCCTGAGTCTTCTGTGTCTCATTTCTTTTCAGATTAATCGTGCCCCAAGCTTTGGAACGGATCAAAAAATAGACTATGATGTAAAAAGAGGTGTTCTGCTAAATGCATTAAAGCTTCTCAACATACGGTACCTTGTCATCTTTTCTTCATTTTCTTCAGTCCATCTCTATTTCTGTTGCTTTGATTTCTTTTTTTTTTAATTTGAATTGAACTTAGAGGATATGAAAAACCTTTTTTCCACCTTAATATTTTCAAAATGTAAATGTTTCCCTTGCTGTCAATTTTGCTGTAGAAATTAACCAAAATTTAATTTTTCTTTGTGCATATGTACTTGCAAAAAATGAAGTGTAATAGTTTATTTTTAAAAAATTTTCAAACACATCTTGAATTTGGCATATGTGTGCAGTCATGGGTATGTGGCCATAAAGGAAATTTGGTTAAGTGATAGTGTCTCATTCAGTCAAAAGCCATACCTTCTAGAGGAAAACTTTGTAGCTGAGATATGTTGAAAAATATCTACACCTCAGGAAACAGATACAACCATGTTTGTACATTAAATTACAGCACAGAGTAAATACAGTATACCTTAAAGTGTTAAAATTTTGTGGCCATGAATCTTAATATTAAAAAAATCTTTATGTTTCAATTCTAATTTTATATGATAAACACGACTGACTGGAAAATACAGATTATTTACTTGATATGAAAGTGCATCTCATTTTGGCTGCATTGAATTGACATTTCTTAATATCATCTGTGTTTCAGGACAAGCGATAAAAGGAAAAATTTAGCCCAACAGAAGGCTGAGGCTCAAAAAAGACTGTATGGTCAGGGGCCAGTGAAAAAACTGCTGCCAGGTTCCTCAGAATGGGAGAAGCAGCGCCACACACTGGAAAGGAGAAAACAGGAACTGGTAGGAAGGGAAAAAAATGCTGTTTCTTGCTCATGGTTTATACTCTCTTTTGTTTTAATTGTCTTACTTTCTTGATTTGTAGAAGGAAAGACTTGCACAAGTACGTAAACAGATTTCCAAAGAGGAGCATGAAAATAGACACATGGGGAACTACAGGTGAATGTTTTTGACTGTATTAGTAGGAAATACTCAGTGTATTCTTTAGGAACAGTGGAAACAAGTATTTGTGGTAGATGATAATTTTCTGCCAAAAATGTGTAGGCACTTATAGAAAATATACACATGTACATCAGGTATTGTTTTTCAGATGGTTCTTTTCTTGATTCCAGTGCACTTAGGAATTTATATGGCATCAGTCACCCTATTGTTTATGCAAGACATATGCTTCAAAGACATGATAGTTCACATTCAGTGTACCAAGAATCATCATTGTTGTTATGGACCTGTTCTCTAATCACATATAATCATTCTTATCTTGGTAGCAGGGGGTGCAGTATGATATATCCCTGTAAAAATATATTTGAATTGTATCTCTGAGGCTTGCCAAAATTATGGGTGCTTCCATAATTTTGAGTAGAGTGACATTTGAAATACTTAACTTTTATTTTGGCATTTGAATTTTGGATCTTGGTCACCTGAAATGTAAGTACCTTCAGATTCCTTAGTAAAATATGATCAAAAGAGAGCTTTACATTATCAGTTACAACAGGCATTGACGAAAAATTTTGTTTTGTGATATTTTTGTTACTATTTCATGTTGTTTGCTTCATTGAGAAGTGAAAGCATGGCCTAAGAATATTTGGTGAAAGGGAGCGGAGTATGGATAGCAAAAGATGATGGGAATATTTGCCCACTCTTTATAACATTCATCCAGAATGTGAGAATATCTGAGATCACATATTTTATTGTGAACTAGTCAGAATGCCTTTATTGATGTTCTTTATTGCTTTTTTTTGAGCATATGTTCTAGATTTCCCAGTAAAATTCTCATTTAAACAGATAGATGTTTCTGTGAAATTCGCATTTTTGATGACCTAACATTTTGCTTACAAAGGGTCTTTCTTCTTAACTTTTAATTACATATTTTCTTGATGTGTGGAGTTGAACTAGTAAGTAAGAAAAGCTCACAAATACACAGAAGTCACATAATGTCATGCACTGTATAAAGGGTGTCCATGCCTTTCACATTTAGTCTTCCCTCTTAGCCATATTTCTGGCTGTGTATTGGGTATTCATGACAGATGGATTGAAGTTGTTTTCTTCAAAGCCCATTGTTGCTTGATGAACATGAATAAATCAACTAGTCCTGCTTCTGATGTTGTCATAATCTCCTTACCTGTGATTTTAGAGAATAATGGCATAGCTGCTCTAATGGAAAATCAGTCACCGTTTATATCCGTGTACCAGTTTGTTTTTCTTTCTTATAGCACCTATTTCTTCCTGTTAATTTTTTGGAGGACTTAGCATTCAAGTGCAGTGCATACTCAATCTTTAATTCATATCCTGCCTATGGGATCAAAGCTGTTCAGATTTTTACTCTTTTGTGTCCTTTGATTGCTAATACAAATTGTTTTGTCTCCTTTTATTACTAATACAAATTATCTTGTGGCTTTGAATTTGACATACAATATTTTGTTAACATTTCATGAATCATTTACACCTGTATGCCTCACTTACACCCACTGAAATTTCTGAGCACTGCAAAACTGGGTTTTGGTATACCTCTGGAATGATCTACATGGTATTTCTTTTGACTGGCTAATTGCTGGTTTAAACATGAATGTTTTCATTGAATTAGAAGTAGATTTAGAGAGCAATGATCAGAGTATATATGTTTTATGATTTGATATTATGTAGTTATTATAGATGGGATATGTATATGTTAGAAAAGAGACTTTGTATTAGTGACATTACTTTTGTGTGATGAATACCTCAGCTTCTATCTTAAACTGTTCTTTTTTTCCTTTTTTAGGCGAATTTACCCTCCTGATGATAAGACATTACTTGAAAAGTATGAGAGTTTGTTAGCCACTGCTTTCCAGACATTTCTTGCTGGAAGAGCAGCTTCACTTCAGCGGGAAATGAATAACCCCTTAAAAAGAATGAAGGTACTGAAGTACACTGAGTACTGGCTTTAGGAGTTACTTTGAATTCATGACCTCATGGATAAGTTTCACTATAATCATGTATGATGGCTAATAAATAGCATTTGATAACGTTCCGTGATCTTATTATTATTCTTTGTGCAGCTTGTGGGCCAGATCCTTGAATCTGGATGAACTGCAGTGGACCCAGGGTGGAGACAGGCTAGATGGCTTTAAGCTACTTTACCATATCCCTGATCCTCAGCCTTACCCCTGGCCAAACCAGAGGTTGGCAGAAACTGCTTTTGAGCTGGTAATTGCCTCCTTCTTCCTCCAGTAATGTTCCCAGCCTATTCATCCACTTGTATGGACTGGAACAAGAGGTAGCCTAAAACCAGCTCCACTAGTTTAAGGATTTAAGGCATCCAAAAATTTTACCTGATTTGCCTATTTATTTAGTCAGAGACAGTAGGAAGACAGCTATATTAATAACCAGCTAACATGATGTAATTTGAAATCTGAGAAATAATTTTGCATCTTTCTAGTTGTTATCATCCAGCAGTTTTACAGGAATGTTTGTTCAATCTTTTCTTCAGACTTTTTTTTAATATACGTTAAGACTTGATTTCAACCCTCAATTTCATGTTGCTTGCCAGGAGAGATGCATGCATGAGAAGAAATATTTCTGTTTCCTCCTGTGGAGGAATTCCTAGTCCTGTTTCAGGAATTAGTAATCAGAGTAATTTCAAATTTCTGCCACTTTCTGCTTGAATTTTTGAAGGACAGGGTATATCCTGCTTTGAATTAATAGTAATGAAATTCCCATTTCTAGGAGGAGGACATTTTGGATCTTCTGGAGCAGTGTGAAATAGATGATGAAAAGCTAACAGGAAAATGCACCAGGCAGCGAGGACCTAAGGTATTTGACTTCTAGATACCAATTTTTTATTTCACTCTACAGACAGGTTTTCTGAGAATTTTAAGAGGGGAATTTAGTTAGTTAATCCTGCTGAAAGTTTTCTTCCCCAGACTGCCATTAACCTTTTTTTATTTTTTTAATAAAGTATGAATTGAGGTATGATTACCATTTGTCCAACTAAGTCCCATTAAATTTTTAAGGGGATATGCAATCCTTCTTTCCCTCCCTAAGCCATTTGGAGGAATTGCCATGCATGGCAACATATGTTGTACAAGAGATTGATTTCAGTGTGTGAAAGGATTTTTATATCAATAGTGGATCTCAAAAGAATGCTTTCATCTCTAATTGATTAGTGCCAAAACCATGGGATAAAAGGCACTATGAAAAGTCAAAGAATTATAATTTTGATATATCTGTAGCTTGCTCCCTTGCTAAGAGGGTTGTACAGTATATCTTGGAACCCATTTTGTATCTAAAATCTGCTTTTAATGTGAATGTATATTATTTTTAGCTTAATGCTTTCTGCTTGTGTGAATAGTTCATTTGAATCTTTGCCTTAAATAAACTGCATATCTCTAAGCCAGTAAAGATAAATAGTTTGGACTTGACTAGAGTAAGTATGTTTTTTTATATCCTGTAAACATTTTAGGTCAAGTCTGCTTAGAAGAGCCAACATCTCTGTTCTGAGCTTTGATGGATTTGTTTATGGATGCATGTAAATTTTTTACAACATTTTATGTTTCTGATGACATGGTGTACAAATATGTGGATATTTGTACAAAATGAATGCTGGCAATTGTTCTGAGCTTGAAGAGGTACTTTAAATATGTGCAAGAATCCAAAGTACTACATCTTATTACAGGCATGCATTCTGGAAAGAGGATCTACATGCCCAATCTGGTATTAAGATAGATTTGCAGGGACCTCATTAAAATATGGGGATTTTGTGAGCTTGTGCTTTAACAGCAGTGGATTCATTTAAACAAGAGAAAAAATCACCAGTCCACCTAAGCAGTACACTCAGTCCATGTTCTTACAGAGATTATTTTCCTTGAAATTTTGTTTCCAGTTCTTTAACATGGGGTCAGTTATTCACGTTTAACATCTCAGTCACATTTTTCCCTTTTTCCAGAAGCCTGTCTTTTCCCAGCAACCCTAGAGAGCAGCTATCTGGTTCCCTGCATGCACACTGACTTGTTCTATTCTGCTTCTACACTCCTTGCTCACAAGACATTCCCAGGCTGGAGACTGTAACATTTAATTAAACATTAATAGGGTACTAAACCCAAATTGAGAAACCTCTCTCAATTAGTTTTAAAATGAATTTTGATTAATTTATGTGTAAGACTATATGCCATGGCCTCTTTTATAGCAGGCAAATGGATTGTGTAGTTTACAGCTGCCTTACTAGTACAACATTGTTTGCACTCAGATGAGAAAGAAAAAATTGCTTATGACCAAAATTTCCTCTTTCCCCCCGCCTAAAATTGATGAATTCAAAAGAGAAGAGAATGAAACTAGCTTATCCAGGAAGACTGTTCACTGTGCATACTTCTTGCTATGAATGATTCTTATTCCTGCATCTTTTTTGTGGCCCTGATACATTTCTCAATCATTTAAATCTTGTTTACAGTGAAATCATTAAAGCAGAGATTTCCCTGGTTGCATAATGTCTCATGTGCTCCCTTTGAAATACAGATGCCCATGCAGATGGTCCTGGTATCTTTTTCCAAAAGAGCATCACCTCTTCCCTTTAAGGGTTAAGGTGCATATGGCCAATCATATGCATTTAACTGGCCCCCTCTTAGGAAAGAGGCTGCTATGAGATATGTAATGTCTAAATATATGTCTATACAAAAATCTGGTGAGTGAGGCAGGCAGTAGAAAGTACAATTGCCTATCAATCTGTCAGGTAATCCAGCTGTAAACCTCATCTTGTAGCCATAAAATCCTACAAATAAAGAGCTATTTGCATATGCAGGATCTAATAGAAACAAAAAACAAACAAACAAAAAACAACTACAGGACTGGTACTTTTCATGTCTTGTAACCAAACATGAAAGGTTATTTGAGAAGTTCATGGGGTCTGTCCCCTCTTAAATTCAGTGGCTGCCCTGCTGACTGAAAGTACTCTTAGGTGAGATGCTCTGCCTTGGGTTGTACTCTTCCTTGAAAAAGCCTCATCAGTCAGGACTCAGAAAACTAACAAGACAACTGAAATAGTTTGGAGACAGGGGTGTGTTTCTCCTCATGCTCTCCATACATAGAGTCATATAAACATCTACATTTCCACATACATATCTCTACATAGGAGAGCTGAAAGGCTGTGAATATTTAAATAAATACAAGCTTTGCATCTAACAATTATTCCATATTTGCTAGGAATTTCAGCCTTGTTTTTGTTTGAACATGATTAGGAACTCAGTGTAGGAAAAAAGAAATCAAGAATTTCACAGAGTGAAGGCATTTTTTCCTGCACTTAAAATGCCACTGAATTTTGCATAGATGGAGAAGGGCATTCTGGAAACGTATTTGTAGCCTCTAGAGGGCTCCTGACACCTACACACTGTCAGGGTTACCCATGTGTGCAGGACAATGGACTAGAACTAAAATAACAGCTATTGTAGAGGAAATGTGAAATTAATTTTAATTTTAATTCTTTTGGTATAAGATCAGATGAGTTTAATCACAGAAAAATTGGCTGAGCATAAGGGTAAAATCAAGGTGATGATCTAAGCAAGATGTGCTAGGCAATCAGATATTTCTTTAAAAGATCAGTTTGTACCCAGATTCAGCTAATATTTGTTATTACTGTTTTTTCTAATTTCTGTGATCTTTATTTTTTATTCTTCTTTGTTAATTTATATTGTTTACTGTAGAATGTGTGAGGAGTATGTAGATGGTAAGTGGAATAAGATCTATCTTAAAGCCTCTGTGAGCTATGATTGAAAATGTTTCTTATACTTGTGTAACTCCTCAGGAATGTCTGATCAATATGTCTACATCATATATAGAATTTCATGATAAGAAGAGCTATTTTTAATGAAGTGCTATGTGTTGAGGCACCTTACTTTTATCCCTTTGGCAGACAGATACATATCAACGTATTCTTTGTGTAACAACAATTGCCAGGGCTCTCTTCAATGCAGTATTCTTCTTTAACTTCTTATCTGGTCTAACAGCTTGGGATGGCATAAATGTACTATTAGTGACAGAAATCCCTTCCCTTCCTTGTCTGGAATAGAAGTTTAGCTAGCATCTATTTAGTTATAAAGTGTATCTTGCAGCAACAGGTTTTGGGGCTTTTTCCTGTTACCTTCATAATAAATCTAGGTGCATTACATCATGCTAAGATGTTAGGAAAATTTAAATTTTTCCTGAGAGTTCTTTTTCACTTTGACTCAAAATATGTCCAGAAATTATGATTTTAATTTTTTTTAATCTGATCTTTAATTGAAATCCATTTGGTAGATGAGGCTATCAGCATAGCTTCTTATAGCTGAGAGTTGCTGGAAAGTGTGCAGGAAAAAAGGTGACCACATAAGCCTATTTAGGAGAACAAAAGTAATGGAAGATACTGCATTTTTTGTGTCTGACTAATGGTAGACAAAAAAATTTCAATTGTCGTTTCTGTTCTTGGATCAGTTTTTCTGTCTCCACCTTTTTGGATTTTGTCTTGCAGTATCCTTGGTACAGGATTAATTAGCTAATGATACTGAATCCCATGTGCATATGAGGCATCAAGAACCCCCAGCACAGCTTGCTATATATTCTTTGGTTTCTGCTCTCTGCAATGTGTAGATTAATCACTTTCTTTTTAAAAGTAAAACAGGCAAAGTTCCCTGATGTATTTTTCTATTTATGTTGATCATTGTTAAGCTGTAGTTTCAGTTATTGAAAATATCAGTGAGGAACCTGAATTGATTGTAAATGGTATTCTGAATCAATTGATTTATGATTTCAAACCATAATTTAATATGTTTGGTCATGCAATTCATACTTCAAGTAACTTTCCCCCTCCCCCCCCTTACTATATTATGCTGCTCTTCATCTGACAAAGATTAGAATTACAGTGGAAGGAATTTAGTGAAATATTTAAGCAGTTATTCTAAAATTTAGGACAAACTTCCAACTAATTTGGAAAAGTTTGTAAATACTGCCTGAACCTGCTTGAATCAGGGATCTAGTGTGATAGCTGGCTGTTTCTTTGGGATTCAATTTACTTTCTTGGGTGTTTTTTCTTTTTTTTTTTCAGCCCTTGTGTTCAATGCCAGAAAGTGCACATTCCTTAAGGAGACCTAAGAACCACAGCAGTGACAGTAGCTATGATAGTGACAGCAGTGTGTCAGAATCAGGAGAAGAAATTGAAAAGGAAGATCACAATGAAAAAAAAGAGAAAAAAGTTTCATATGATCTTGAAGAAAATAAATACAAATCTTTGGAACGATCAGGTAAGTTGAATTATCACTTTTCTAAGGAAGTCTGGCATTGATGATGAATTATATTAAATTCCTCAGTCTTTCAGAATGTGTCAACTTTGTATCTCAGGGTTAAACACTGGTTTGCTTGTTTCAGTTTCTTTAAAATGTTTTCTAAATTAATAGATATATACCATGTTATTTTTTGTTTTAGTGGTGTATTGTCGCAAAGAATTTATTATAATGTAGTTGCAATGTATAATGCTGCTTCTAAGATTTTATTTTTCATACCAGCATTTATTTAGCTGAAAACTGAATTTAAAAATGGTGTAACTATGCCTTGACAAATGAGAGATACTGAATCTGCAAGTATGGGATCCATTGAGCAAATTTTCTCTCCTGTTTCCATATCTTTAAAGTCAGGAAACCACACACAGAAGTCACATAAATTTTGACCTAAAGAGCACATGCCCTCTCTCATAAAACTCATGTGTGTTATAGTGGATTGGACTCTGGTTAAAGCTGAATATGAGGAAGAAATAAATGTTCCAATAAAAATGTAAATTCTGTATTATTAGGGGATCTGACACGACTGACTTCTACATAGATAGTTGTTAGTCAACACACATTGTAGTACATCATCTGTGCACACATTGATCATATGTGTTGTTAGCTACAAAGACTGAAAAATGGGTATTAAGAAAATAATAAGTAATAACATCACTCATTTTGATCTGTCTGCAGGTAGAATGAACTGCAAACCTTCAAATAAAAATGTAAAGTCTCCATCATATTCGTCCCCCACACCATCCACAGGTCCAATAAGACGTTCTGTGAGCTGCCCTCGTTCCATATCAATCCTCACTATGCAGTCCCAGGGAGCTGAGCAGCGCCCCTTTTCAGCCAAAGCATCTCTCCAAATGCAGCGAACAGCCTCAGTGAACAGGTCTCACTCTTTAAGTCGTAGCCCATCTTCAGCCAGATTCTCTCAGACAGCCACCTTGGGAGCTATGAACTCTTCAGGGGTGAGTTAACACAGTGATTGCATTCAAAATGTGTTCCATTCTTCTCAAAACCCCAATAACTACACTAGTAATTTTTGCAACAACAGAAAACTTGAGGTACTGTAGTCAAGATTGTTTCGACAGACACTCGAGCATATAAAATCTCTAGACCTGTGTGTGATATGGGATGAGTGCCAGCCGTGATATCTTAGTGTTTGTGGTACAGCAATACACGTTACATTTTGTGGAAACAGGTGTCTAAGGAGAATGGGAAACCTTCACTTTGTGAATGGGAAACTTTCACTCCTAAACAGGCTTTTGAAGATAGAAAGGATCATTACCTCTCTTAAAAATTTTATGTGATTTGTCTGGGGGCTCCTGGTTCTGAAGTAAAGCTGTACCTCCCTTCTAAATCTTTACAGTAACAAAAATACATCCAGATTTCAAATCCAGTGTATAGTCCAAGGATATATGCATTGTGCTAGAATAAAACAGGAAGTTTTTGTAGGCTGCCCATTGTAAAAGATGGTGAGATTAATTTTCAACCTACTGAACCTCTTTTGCATGTGGTATACCACTGCAGTACAGCTCTACTTCCAAAGTGAACAGTTGAATATTTATGCAGTGCTTATGGTCTTCAGGATTTGCCACTGCAGTAACTGATTCAGAAGCCATTCTCTTTTTTCAAAAAGAAGGTAAAGTATCTTTCATTTGAACCCTCTCCTTGAGAAAGAAAAGAAACTGGCCCAAATAATTAATATATCAGATTAAACATTTTTAACTGTTTAGAATTTGTGTGGTTTGTTACACTTTTCCCAGTGTACTTCTGGACCATGTATATTTTTCATTTTGTTAGCAGATTGTCATCCTCTTTAGTATCTTCTTCACAGCCCAGGCATTTCTTCTTTTGTGTTGGCGTGATGAAGCCCATATTCACTTATCCCTAGGCAGTGTTTGCAGGGATCAATCCCCAGCCTCATTCAGGATTGCATTGCATGCTAGTGCCAGAGTGTTTCCATTTGTGCTTTGATGCCTGACCTATATATTTCATTGCCCAAATAATTTGTGCAGAGATGAGCAAAACAAATTGGCACTTTTAACCCGTATTTGCTGCCTCTCTGTATTGTGGTGAGCTTTGATTGTGAGCAATCCTTTTGTAATGCTAATTAACTTGCTTCGTAGTGTTTACTATCTCTAATCATCATTTTTATCTGGTAGAACGCTCATTGTCTATTTTGCCTATGAAGTTTTGTCTAAAGGATGAAAAAGGGTCCTTTTAAAATTGTGTGCTGTCATCTTGTGAAATACTCCTTAACATGGTTTTCCATCTTTAAAGTCAGCTAATAGAATTGGAAAGACATTAAGATTGTGTCTTCACAACAACGTGTAAAAGGTATTTTTTATTGCATTAGCTATCTCAATTTTAAAAAGTACCCTTTTATCATCACGATGTACCCTGAGAGTTTAATGAGACAGTGCTTATATGGATTTTTCTATTCACATTAACTTTATATCAAATACAAATTACTGAAAGATTAAAAGCAGTCTTTTACCATCTGATGTTAAAAATGGGCTACTCTCTTAAATTAACATTAGTAAGAAAGCATACTCTCTTTTTCATTGAGAAAGCTCCACCACAGAAATGATCTTGATCTTGATCTGCAGAACAATTACTTTGGGTGATAGAGCTTAGGTCACGCTTCCTAAAAATGATGTGAATAAAATTACTTACAAAATGGATAAGAATTACTTATAATTTAGCACTGTATTCTGAATGGAATTCTGTTCATAATTATTTTTGCAACTAAGACTAATATATATTATTGCTAGAATAACATTAAAATTGATAAACTGTGACTTACTAAGAAGAAATCATTTGTGCATGATAAAGTGTTAGTTTATCTATCCTTGGGCAAGAAATGAGCAGTACACTGCCATTTTTGGAGTCTGCTGAGATCCAAATATTCTAAACATAGGGAAACAACATTTAAAATAAATAATTTATAGTCGGAATTACAGACATTTTCTTGTAAGAGTTATAAACAAAAGTGGATTTCAAAATATTTGCTATCTTATTATTTCAGCCACATTAAAACATACCACATACCAAAGTATTTTTTGTGCTTGAAAATATTTATCACTCACTTAAATAAAAATACCCTTAAGTATTGTAGTTGTTACAGGATACAAAGATTAGAAATGCCAAAAAATTTTGAATTTTATGTTAAAATTAGGCTGACTTGGTCTTGCAAATATGAAAATGCAAAAGTATGTGAAAGTAAAGAAAGAGGATCAGAAATACTTCTAACTAATGTGTCATGTTTTAAAGAAGACCCCCAAAACCTCCAGAGATGGTCTTCTGTGGACACTGCAGGGGTTCAGATCAGTGTTGGTGTAAAAAGCACTGATACTTCAAACAAAACTCTGGACAACTGGAGGCCCTATCAGACCCCTTACTGACTAAAGCAGGAGAAAAGTTTCCTTTTCAATGCTTCCTGAAATGTTGGCCCTGTGATATATTGCCTGTTTATGTTAAATTGTTGAACTGACGAACTGAAAGGATGCTTTTATGACTAATAATATTTTTCATTATGTTGAATTTAAATTCAAACTCTGTTATCTCAGTTTCAAATTTATACTTTAAATTGTGGGCACCATAAATATGTAATATATGTTTGTTTATTCTATTTGAAACAAACATACATTTTAACTGTTTTTCTTGGATTTCTTGACAACTCTCAGTAATGGTGATGCATTAATGTATGTGATATATACTAGTTCTGTATTAGATAATATGTCTATGCACTTTAATAATATATTTTATGTAACTCTAACATTTTTTTTTGTCAAACAAACATCTTTGTAATGTGATTTAATGGCAAACTTGAAATGTTTTCCTCTCCTTTTTGTTGGCTTTTAGAGTGAGTCTTTGTTGCAACAGAAAACAAAAGAGCAAGAAGTTGCTTTGACAAAAGAGACTCTTCTCCTCATCAATGACTTGAGACTAAAGTTCCCAGGAAAATCAAATGAAGAATCTGAATTAATTATAGAAGATGTAAGTATCTATAAATAAGAAAGAAGAACAGGCTAGACACTGTTTAGGCTACTGAAATGAAGGAAAGTAAAAAGCTCCATCTATGATTCATTAGCTCCTGTGGCCCTAAAACTTCCAGAACTCAGGATAACTCAAAAGAATTTGAAAGCTTGGAGCTTTGCATGCTTTCTGACCTTAAAAGAGCAGCACTGAAAACATTCCTATGTTCTTATAAAATATGTGAGAAATAATCAGGAGGGTTAGGAAAATTCAGTTTTTCATTGTAAAGAGAGTTCAAACTTTTAAGTAAGCCAAGAAGAATGTTACAATTCATATTTCATCTGATACTGTTAAAACAGACCCTGACTTGTTTAACTTGCTCCCAGGCAGGCACACTAGTGAACACAGTACAGTATGCTGCAGGCAGAATGGAGGTTTGAAGGTCATAAAGAACACCAGTCATGTGCTTTTTAGCTCTTGTAGTCCACCAAATTCGCCTTTCTCACATCTAATATTGTCCTGAGCCTTGTAGTTTGGTTTCAAAGACATGTGAAACAATGCTGAAATAAAGGCCAATTAAACCCCAATTCTTGATATATAAGCAGAGATTGCATGGTGTCTAAATACCTTATAAACATTCGATGCAAAAAAGCTAACAGGATGGAAAAGATAAAGATGGATGTTCTCATTTTAGAAGGAAAATGAAAGGATTCACATTAACACCTGTGCTCTGATGTAGTGAGCACAGTCCTTCATGCATTAAAATTCATCTGATTTATTATCTAGCCAGAAGTGTCCTGAGCTCTGTGAGCTTCCAGAATATTGATTACATTTCTAGCAATCTCTGCAGCTACATTGGAGTGGAAAGGAATTCTTCTGTAATGATGGTTGATTTGGTGCTGGTGGAAGATAGTATCCAGAACCAGCAGGTTGGGCTTGTAGAAGCAGAGCTAGAACGTTCCATGGGATGCTGTCCCTGATGCCCCGAGTGCACGCGGTTCTGTGTGAGCCCGGGAAGCCCCGCGCCTTCCTGGGGCAGAGCTCTTCTGAAATTCGTCTGGCCATAAACAATTCCTGATGGGAAAGAGTTCATCATGGAGGAAAACAAGTGCTGGCAAGACAGAACTTGTTGAAGGTCTGGAGTAGAGTAGAAAGATAAAATAACAAAATGAGAATAAAAATATATGTTCGCAGCTTGAGCTATTTTGGTAGCACTTAGATTTTAGGAGAGTGTCTCAGTTTTTATATATGATTATTTATAGAAAGGATGATTTCCAGATATGTTTAATGTCCCATATGCAGCAAAACCTCTCACTATTTAAATAGATCAGCAGTTATGCATTATTGAACTTACTACTCCCAAAAATCTGAGCTGAGTCAGTCAAGACAACTTTCTACTTGCTTTGTAGTATATGAATGTCAGAATCAGGTAGAAAAGAGGGTGACATTAAACTGAAACACCACACAGATCTTTGCAAATGTTGACCCACATAAATTGGCACATATTTTGCTAATTTTTTTAGTGAAAACTTCTCACAGTGGTCTTTAAGATGCTCACATTTTTAAGGGTTAAGAGTGCTTGTGAATGAAAGACCTGCTTTCAGTTGTTTTCATGTGTATTTTTATGTTATGTTTTACAATGACCACAGATTATGGATAACTGGAAGCATCATAAAACAAAAGTGTCATCCTTTTGGTTGGTAAAACTGGATTCAGCAAAGCAACGAAAAGTAAGTGATGTATTTAATTTTCAGAAGGTCATCTAAAATAGATGCATGGCAGTGTTTCTACTGGTGTTTAGCAGTAGCTGGGAGTGACTTGAGATGCCAAAATACAGGCTATAGGTACTAACACAGATATGCATTAATTCTGTTAAAGGACATTATGTTGCTCCATATTTGGAGAAGCATGATTGTTCTGGATTATAATTTAAAAATCAATTTCTCAAAAAAATTAGTCTCCTAAAAAAAGCAAACAAATAAATGATTAGTGCTTACAAACCTAAGTTCTAGCTAACATTTCTAGAAGGGTATTCACATGGCAGATTTGATTGATAAGGGCTGCACGAGTCAGCATTTTCAGACCAGGCATATTAAAACTCCATTAGAGGTACTTGGCTGTTGGAGTATTTGACCCACAATATTAGAATAGATAATGTTGCATAAAAAATGGACCTACCAAGCAAAGAATTTTCTCCTTTAAATGTTATTTCAGAAAGCCTCCAATAGAGGCTGGTTCTGCCCTTTATTTGACTGGCAGTCATGTTAAACCAAGGGCACATGTACAACATCAGGATGACAGAGATTGATGTGCCAGGTTGTTACTTGCAAAAACTGCACAATCAGAAATGTGGACTTTTTGCTCTTCTTGTGAGGACATCTTTTACTACTTCAGGAGACTTATAATTCCTGAAGCACTAGTGAGTCCTTCATCTTTGCTTGCACTGGAAATGATTTGCCTTTTTTAAAAATGCTTTTAACCTCAATCCCTTCAAGCAATCAGATAGTTATTCTTAGAAGGGTAGTTTATAAAAACGGATTAACTTTGACAATGACATTGCAGCTGAGGACTGCCAAATGTCTTTTGTTGATTTGTAAGAAGTATGTTTTATATTCCAATGAGGTAGGTGGAGGAGAAATGAGCAAGGTGGAGAATATTTATGCAAGTAAGAAATCTGTCTCAAAGGTACCTTTTGCAACTTTGTGAAATACAAAACAGAATCTCAGTCCCCTTCACTCTTACTTACTGGGAAATTCTGACACACAAGAAGAAAATACCTGGGCAATGTACTAGATGGCACAATGTTCATACCTGACAGCTGTATTTGCTTAACAATTACTCAACATGATATAGAAAAATTAAACTTACACTTTTATTCTTAGTATGTAATGTTCTGGCATTACAGCACAGGTACAGGAGGCATTCAGAAGTAAGTTGAGAGTAAACCAATTAAATCAATTCATGTTAAAAAGAAATAGAACCTCTAAGACTTTCAATAAAAAGAGATATTGATATGGGAGGAGTTATGACTCCTTCATGTTGCATCACTTTACATAATTTCTTTAAAAACATTTTGATGGTTACCAGAGGGTTTTGGATATGCCCTTTCATAACATCTTGTTCTGTTATACCTAGATAATTTGTTTTGTTAAAGTAAATGTTGTAAATTAAAGAGAAAAATGAAGGCAAGCTAGGGAAATTAACTTAGAAAAATGAAGATATAGGTTTCCTGAAGTTCCAGTCCTTGTGCAATGCCTTGTCTCAGTTCTTAAATGGATGATTTTATTTGCCATGTTTGCAAATTAAGGACAATTAACCAGCACATTTCCTGCTCTTACTGTGCATATTGGCAATATCAGCACAGTAAGAACAGCAAGAAAGATTTTTTTTTTTTCCAGAGTACTTGGCAGTCTGTGGCTTGCTCTACAATGTTCAGTTCTTAGGTTCTTCAACTTCAGGTACTACAATAAAAGCAAAAGCTCTGCCCTGAGCCTGTCCTACAGGCATGGGACAGTCCAAAACCTGGGCTTAGCTCCTGCTGTCATTAATAAAGATCAGCACCCTTAGATTTTAATATTTTACTCCTTCTATCTCACTCTTTGGGAGGAGTAGGCCATGGGTGTGGGTTTAGTGGGTTAGACACCTGCATTTATAAAGATTCCCAGCAGAGAGGACAGTATTGTATTTACTTTGGGCTATTATGTACATGGAATTGCTGCAAGACTTGTGCATGCAGACTAATCCCGGGTCTTCAACAAGTGTTTAAATAACATGGGAAAAAACATATTTCATCAAGGCTCTCATCATTAGGTATCTATAGATTTTTCTGCCCATTAGGCATACTACACAGCTTCCTTGTGCTATTGCAAGCATTTTGTTTATTTAAGCTTTGTTTCCTTCATTATCAGACAATTTATAAACAACAGTTTGTTATGTAGGATCTAAAAATTGCAATTCCACACCATTCTTCCACAATTTACTGTTCTACTAAATCTCTTTTGCCTTTTGAGAACCATGATTCACCATGTGAATCAGTTTGTCTTACATATCTGAAAGTTTCCAGGAAAAGCATTGTACCTTCTAATTTATAAAATCTTATACCAAAGTAGCAAATACCTCCATCTATTTACCACCCACTTGAGTGTGATTGCTTTTTTGGGAGAAGCTTTTATGAAAAAGAGGCAGAAAGGGTGTTTCCTTTAAAGGAAATTTCATGGATTTAACCTGGCTTTATTGTTGATAGTTTACATGCACTGTAGGCTTTTTTGTAGGACAGATTTTACACTGTTCAAAGTGTCAATATGTGGTCTAAATACTACTTTGGTCACAAAACTACTCCCAGACTTATTGATAGTATCTAAATAGACAGAATTCAAGACACCCTGGATTCTCTCCAGGGATCATGAAGGGAACATAGAGGACTGAGTTAAGAGAACATCCAGATATTTAAAAGCAGGCACAATGAATCCCACCTTCCTTCCATGCCCCATTTCACTGGCAGGACTCTGGTAAGTTGGATGTGCAGCTGTCTAGCACTATACTGAATGCAGCTCAGCCTTTGTGCTCTTGCATTTAAATGTAGTCCATATGTAATAAATCCATGGTGTGTCTTTAAATATTTCTATTTTAAATATCTTGCTGGTTATTTTGTTATTTACTGATTTCACTACTGTCTCTTGCCAGGTACACTTAATATGGTTTGATCCAGGGTAACACAGATTAAACAGATATTAAACCAAAGGCAGTTTTTAGTTTTCCAGGACATTTTAGTTCTTTATAAAATAGATGGTATTTTACAAGGGAGTGGGAAAAGAAGATATACAATGCTTGGGTTAATTAAGTTGCTTCTAGTCTTTAATTGTGTCCATTTTGTTTCTTTTTACCCTTTCTGTCATTTAAATGAGCTAGTATTGAAGAGACTGAAAAAACAGAAATGAACTTTTCAGTAATAAAAAATAAAATACTTTGATTTGGTTTTGCAAAATGTTGCTAACAGAAAGAACATATAATAAAAGTTAGCTGATGAATGCACAGAAATGAACCCCAGACCTCTGTGGGAATGTACAGGTCATATGTACAGGGATGTATGTCTATATGCATGCAGGGCATCAGCCATCAGCTGGGTTTTGGTTCTGCAAAATGTCTTTGATTTACTTGGAATGCTCTTTCCTAGGTTTTGGATATAGTCAGGACAAGCGTCCGTGCAGTTCTACAGCATGTCTGGAAAGCTCCAGACATTGAAAATTTACATCTCTACCGTCTTTTTAACCGTGTATTCAATCGCTTACTTTGGAGCCATGGTCAAGGTCTATGGAACTGTTTCTGTAATTCAGGGTAAGCTGATTTTTCTTTTCTTCTTCATAACTTCATAATCACAATCAATGCTGGCATACTTTGTTGCTCATTTTCATTTACAAGAGAGATGTAATACATTGAACTTGTTTTAAAAGCACCTTAAGATGTATAGTTGAATGAAATCTAGCAAAAGGCCAATCTTTTCAGAAATGGAATCAAACATTTAGTAATGTATTTACAAATTTAATAATCTAAAGAAAAAAATCTAATATTCAAAATATTTCAGCCTTAAGTCAACTCTTAAGTGCATGGTTTTTAGGCCAGACCACCATGTCTAATGTGGACTTGCCATCAACAAAAATCATAGTATCAATGTGTGCTCCAAACTCATAAGAAGAGTTCAGTCACAAGTGCAGCTGACATCTCATGCCAGATGCAATGTCACTTCTGTGATTTGCTAATAAACAGTTCAAATTTCTGTTCTTGACTACATTCACTGTTTCCTATACTAGTAGAAAGTTAAGTATATGTAGAATATGAAATACCATGTAAGCAGGTCTGTTTGTTTTGGGTAGCAAATACAAGTTTTCTATAGGGAAGAAAGATCTGGCCATTGTTGGGGGATAAGTTCAATAACCTCCACTTCATGATCTACATTCCTGAAATCAAAGGCATTGGTAGAAATATAGATTTGGGGGATCACATGAAGGATAGTAAATGATTCCTCCCCCTAACCAATTTATTCATAAAATAAGAATAAAAATGTTAAATATTAAATATATTGTATACAAAAAAGAGCATTTTCTCTGTTAGTATATAAAATGTATAAAGAATGGGAGGGGGTTTTGTTGGCTTGCATAAGGTGTTCTAAGAGATGTATTGAATACAACAATGCTGCTGGATATTTTATGTACAAAGGAATCAAGTCAATATATTGTTCACATATGTTCATTTATCATATGTGGAGAACTCGCACATTACCCTTTTTAATTGTTTGCCAAGAAAATGGATAACAAGAAGAAAAAGGGATCTGAGTGGTCCAAAAGATCATCAGGTCTTTTATCATCATCTCATTGCTGAAGGCTTCTTGTTGTGCAAGCTGTTAGGATTCTTTACATTTTTTTCTTTTCTTCATACTAGCAGAGGTGTGTAAAGTCTTCAGTACAAGCTCAATTCTTTTGTTGTCATAAAATATTATAAGTGGAGCTATTCTTTGACAAAGATCCAGTTCCTTGTAAGAAGACTTGTTACATAAAAAATACTAAAAATACTGTGAAAGTAATATATAAATATCCAGTATATGTAACCATCACTCTGCGTATAAAACACCTGTTACAGATAATAAAGAATTCATGGAAGAAAACAAAAAGGCTGTTTGCACCTTGCCATTATCTTGTTTATTTAGTTACATACATCCTTCTTGCCCCATAAGACACAGCTCATGGCAGCACTTCTGTAGCAGAGAGGTCAACTTCTCATCACTCTTCCCTAAGAGTTCATTGTGCCATTTTAAAGAACAGATTGGAATAAACATAGGGTGTGTGTAGAATATGGAGAAAAATGTTGGGAAAGAGGTATAAATGTGCTGATTCAGAAACTACATTACTATATGAAAATACATTAAAGTGTGTTCACTATTCATAAGATAGCTGTCCTGGGAGAAGAGTGGAATTAATGGCCTTAAGGTTTCCTCTTGCTGATCTCTGGTAGGTATGCGCTATTTAATTGAAAGAAAGAACAAAGAAAATCTCTGTCAAGAAAAGGTGATGTAAAGCATTTCATAAAGGTTCATTTGTTTTACTGTATAATAAACAATTAAAACCAATAGAAGAAAACTAGAAGAAACAGTTGACTTCAGATGACTATAAAAAGCATAACACATGATTGACCACATTGCACAATCCAGTATAATACTCCTTTTTGTATCTGGTGGGGAGTCTGTGATTTCTTACTAATGTATGGAAGCTAAAGTTACAGCATAACCAATTAAACTTAGGAAACAGAATTCTGATCCCTGTTGATTGCAGTATAATGGAGAATAAACTGAATCTGTCTAACACATGGAGGAAGTTGCACAGGCACATTTATATGAAAGCTCATTAAAATTCATGTGCATGTTCCCAAATCTCAGCTTTTGTTATTAGGGTACTAGTCAGCCACAGTTGCAGCAGGCCATATATTACTTGTCACTGAAAAAATGCCACTTAACTGTAGAAAAGTTATCACAAAGTCCAGAACCTAAGGAATTTATCAGGAAAGTTTCTTCTACAGGATTTCTGAGTTTTATGGAGTGAATTATAATATAATTATGTGTAGCAATGTGAATCTGTTGAAGGAATGTAATACTTAGACTGTCATCTTGCTACTTTCTACCAATATGACTTCATGAGGAAAGACTGAAGATAATATATTAATTTGTATATAAAAATACATGTGGACAACTCCCAGACAGAAACAATTGAGAAAAAATACATTAAAGAAAAGTAGTCATATGACTCAATGATCTTAAGAGGTCATTTCCAACCTAAATGATTCTATGATTTTCAGTTTGTGAAATTGAAGTTTTGATGTATACAAACAATACTTAAACAATTGTATGAATAATAATTAAGGACAAATGCTTGCAGCATTGAAATTTATGTTTGCAATGAAAATGCTGTAGAACTGAATGTTTTCAGCTGGAACATACCATCTAGACAGAGGAGCCAGGCTGACAAATCAGTTAGCTATACATACAGCTCATCTTTTAGTCATTAATGGTCTTAATTCCATCCTAATCATAGAATCATTGACTCATACAATCTTAAGGGGTTGGAATGGACCTTAAAGATCATCTAGTCCCAGCCCCTCAGCCATGGACAGGGACACCTCCCACTAGACCAGGCTGCTCAAGGCCTTATCCAAGCTGGCTTTGAACACTGTCAGGGCTGGGGCAACCACAGCCTCCCTGGGCAACCTGTGCCAGTGTCTCACCACCCTCACAGTGAAATGCAGCTCAGTTTAAAAAAATCTTACTAGGCAGGGGTGAGCTTGCTTGTTCTGTGATGTTGTTTGAAGGATGAACTTTCTACATGGGCATTGTGAAATCTACTGCTGTTCTCTGTGGGCAAGGCTAATCGGCCTGGATGTGATGTCGAAGCCAGATGCAGCAAATTTTCCTCACTCTGTGAAGTGCTTCTTTCATACGCAAAAAAGCTCAAGCTTGCAAACCATCTGTGCTACTGGATAATAATGTTGTCAAAAAAAAAGTCTTCACAAGCACCATGTTGCCTTTTAAAACTGATTGAATGATCTATAATTTGGTCAGAATTTTACACAAACAAGAATGCTGAGATGTGTGCAAAGAACTACTTATTGTAGTGCTCTGTGCTTAAATACACCTGGTTTATATGGATGTGGTAGCCTTTGGTGGCTTTTTTCTTCTCAAAGAAAAATGGCTTCTTAAGAAAACAAAAGGAATTTTTCTATAGATGCACTCTGCAAGTTGTAGATAATCAACCCATGTGACCAGAGGAAATAATAAACAGTATTTGAATGACTAAACTGAGAGACTCTCTTCATATGATTTTTTGGATAAGGAAGCAGAACACATACTAATCTCCTGTAAATCATACTTGTTTCTTAGTATCATGTCCTTAAAATAAAAGTATTATTATGCTGTGTGGACATCTAGTATTAATTTAATACTTTTATTAATTCCTTTAATATCATAATTTCATTCAGGCCTATTAAAAAAAATAACTGTTTTTTGTTATTCCTGTTGTAAGACAAATAATTCTTTACATGCTAAACCTAAGTAATGCCTCTGTAAACACTTGAGGGAACAAACCAAATGAAAAATTCAGGTGGACATTTCCCATATAAAGATTAACTTCTTACTTTGTGTTTTGGACTCAGCATCTGCCAGTATTTGTGGTAAATAGTATAAACACTTCCTGTACCTTTCCTGCAAGGTCATGCTTTTTTTATCTTATTCCTCTGTTGTTAAATCTGATATAAAGCAATACAGCTCTTAGATTGCAGTTTGTGACAGAGACCATGAATTTGTTTCTTTTTCTGTAATAGGAGCTCTTGGGAAACCATATTCAGTAAAGGCTCAGAGGCGGTGACTCCGGAGCAGCTCCAGTGTTGCCAGCGAATAGTGCAGCTTTGTAAACACTGCCTGCTGGTAGTTTACAAACATTCATCAGATTCAAGAGGATCCCCAACTGGGATGAACCACCACTGGGATGATACAAGGTATAAATTTGAATATTTTCCTTCTAAATTATACATATAAAGGATAGTTCTGGAACAGGTTTTATTCCATGTTGCTACCACTAAACTTTTCATTAAGTCTGGTTCCCTCTGTTTTTAAGAAGAAACCACACCAAACTCCCCCACATTTCCCTTGACCCTGACTTTCAGTCATTCTAATCTCACTACTCTAGTCATGAAGTGCTACCAAAAGAAAACTTGACATACACATCATGTATGTCTTATTAAACTTCTGTAAAATTGTGTACATCTTGTACACTTAATAAACTCTTGATTGCCTACTGCCTAATTAGCTGCAGCAAAGGCTTTCCATAAAGTGAACTGAAAATGTCCTTTCTTCCCCTTCTCAGATCCCTCAAAGTCACTGTTTCCAGATTCCTAGAGGTATCCTAACATGTCAGATACTTCTGGCTTCACATTCGCAGTGGGCTGCTATAGGGGCACAGCTCCAGCCAAGGGTCAGGTAAGTGCCATCTGATTTACTGTATTGCACAGTTTTGCAAAGTTGATTTCCAAAACCTATAGATCAAAAGATTTTTTTATTTCATCTTACAGAGCATAAATATATTTTCAAACCTTGCAAAACAGCATCATATAGTAAAATAATTTTTTGGCACTTACCTGATTCTCCATTGGCTGGTTTAGTTCCCCAACTGGATACAACAGGGGTTACAATATTATGAGTGTAGGGATTACTGAGAATGCTGCAACAGTGGCAGTCAATAATTTGCAATTAAACAGTCATAGATAGAGAATTAAATGTCAGTTTTAAATTACCTAGTATCCAAATTCTATCCCATTTTAATTATTGTGTATATAAAAACTACAAATGCTGTGTTTATATAAAATATCTTACATATATTGTTTCATAGAAGGTCTTTGTGATTTAAGCATTATGTGAAAAACAAATTTTTGGTATATTATCTATGAAACTTATTTTATTACTTAATTGCTTACTTGATATATTTCAGATTAGTTATTTGATACCCTGGGCCCATACATTATTGACATGTCATCCTAAGACACTCTAACATAATTTAAAGCCAACCAGAAACTAAATTTGTTTGATCACAGCAAAAGTAGAAGTATGTTGCCACAAACCAATAATATTCAATATTAACATCTACTGAGTTATAGCAGGAGTATGGTAAAGTCATTTGGATTAGCTAAGACCAGAAAATCTCAAAGTTTTTTTTGCCTTTACTGTTAGTACTGCAGAAAATTTTACATCATGACCAACCACAAGCTATTCAAACAGATCAGATTTCTCTATGTACTCAGCTAACAGGCTTACTTTTGGAATGCAGTGAAAGGGATAGTCCAAGAGAACTTTCTCGTCTCCAGTTTCTGTATTTCTTTGAATGCTGAATGGAAGTTATTAATGAACTTCATAGGCTGGAGGAATCTAAGTCCTCTATATCCTAGATATCAGTAATGGAGTGTCAAGACTGATTAAAGTTATAGTTAAATGTTTCATTTAGACATGAATACAGCAATATGCCAGTTTACCATGATATTCTGAATTTGTGAAATGAAAGACATATATGGAAATAAATTCTCTTGTCTTTTACAGCCCACAATTGTCAGGGTAATGAACTACTTTTCTAGAAGTGGGAGAACCACAATACCAATTCACTTTTCACTTACGTTTCTGTTTGTAATGAATCTCCACTACTAATAATAGTTTTCCTGACTCTCCATAAAATTGTATGGTGCTAGAAAATATTAGAGTATAATGTAATAAATGTACAAGAAGTCAATTTTTTTCAAGACTTTATTAAGTCTAATTTGAAGAACTTTGTTTTTTTGTGAGCACAAATTTTTTATTTTGTTTGTGTTTAAGAAACAAAAATTTATGAAACTAAATCTTTCACAGTTTACAAATAGATAGCTCTTTAGCTGTGAAAATTTATTTGTACAGGGATGGATAAAAAGATAAAACTGACACACAATTCTTTAATAACTTTGCAAATTTCTTTTCAATTCTATCTCTTAATTAGAAATCCACTAAGTAAATGAAACAATAGGATTGCTCAAAAACTATTGCAAAGCCTCTTAAGAAAATTAACTAAAATCAAACTCTGTAAAAAGTCATAAATTAACCTGTGTTACAAAAACACCCCAAAATCTACCACTAGGTCGTTACAGCTTTCTAAATGACCTTATCTATTACATGGCATATTCTCTGGGAAGCACTAGAGTTTTTTACTGTATCATCAAGCAAAGGTAGGACTCATCTGGTGACACAGTGAACTGTGAAGCTCACCACCAGCCCATTCCAAATGAAACTTTATTTTTTTCACAAATTTTTAAAAAAATGTATTGGTGATAAAGTTTTTCTCAAGCTTAAACGAAACAAATGTGTACACTTTCTTATATAGATTGTTCCCCTTGACACAGTGCTGCTGTTTCTATCCCTGAGATCAGTTTAACCAGTCTTTTAACTTACTTTTCATTAATCAATATGATTCACTAGAATTGCACAACAATTTTTAAGCAATAATTTATACAATGTGTTCTGTTAATCCATCCTAACATTGACATAATTCATTGTGAAATTCTGATTTAGTATGGATGTTATTTTTTGCACACTGTATTGACTTCTACAATTAACTTTTAGGTAATTACAATATGAAAATATGTAAGAATTAATATTAGTCATATGATAAACTGCTGTTTGTATTTTTAGATTAAATACAAGCTAGACAGTCGCCTGAATTTAAAAGAGAAATAGTCACTGCTGTGAATTGAATTACTAGGTTGTATGATCATTTCTTCCTTTACTACAGTAGTGACAACATGTCTATTCTTAGAACATTAGAGATGGAAATATTTTTTGGTGTCTAACCATTTTTTTTTAAATTTACAATCCAACTTTTTGTAATATGCTTAATGGCAGTTTTTGCCCAGTTGAAATTAAATAGGATTCTGTTGTTTACACAGGATTCCATTGTTTATTTATTTCATGGCTTGAAACATAAAGGACTGGAAAGATGTTTGATCCTCATGCAACAGTATTCTGAGTTAGTTTGTGCCCATTGCCTTCTGTGTTTCATAAATAGTATTTACTGTACCGAGTTTCCCACACACACCAATTATAAAGTCTGGCACATTAACAACTAGTTCTTTTGCTCTTGAGTGTTGCTTTGTCTGTAAACTTTGCTGTATTTTTCATGTCATTTCTAGGTATTTATTGCCAAGACCTTCACTGTTCATCCTGAAACCATCCTCATCCAAACCTAGCTGCAGTCCATCTGGAACGCCTCGCCCCAACATTTTGTTCACACACAGATACAGTCACTTGTGAAGTAAAAGATTGATGATTGTAAATAATAGCACTCAATTTCTTTTTTTTAACTTGTGATGGAGCTAAACATAAGCACTGTTATATATTTCCTACCATCATATTATAATAAAATTTAGCTGAAAATCTACTGTAAAAGCATAGCTTTTCTGGGAACATAATAAACCTTGTTAAGTTGTTTACACACACATGTGAATGTGTAGATCTTGCTAGGTTTATAAGTAACTCCTTCCTACTAGAAATGTTATTTTTGCTGCAGAATATATAAAATGGAATTGTTCTTGAAGATTCTATTACAGTATTACATTATTTTGTACGTACAATACTTTGACTTGAAAATTATTTATTGTAAACTATATTATTTATTGTCTCAAATGTCCTTTAACAAAGCAGATAATTAGAAAAATCTTGCAGAAGAGTAACAGTTATCAAAAATAATCTGATCAGTTCTTGGATATGTTTAAAATAAACCTCAAACTCTGTAAGCCAAACCTAAAGCAGACATATTTTTATTTGTCCTCTGAAATGACAAGATCTATTTAATACTGCTATTTTTCTTAAAGGACATGATGTAGTATCTTTTAGCCAAAGCAAAGGCATCTAATACACAAACAGTAAAATATCAGTTTAGGCATTCACTTCCTAATTGGATTCTTGTAATAAAATGGAAGCCAATGTTTGTTTCCAGGTTTTTGTTCACATTACCTGTATCCTGTGCCTTTAGGTTTCCTTTGGGAGCAAGCGGTCATCCTCAGCTCCACACGCATGCATAGTGCATAGTTTTTCTGTTACACTGCCTAAGTGGTAAAGCAGACATTTTTAGGAAATACTGCAGCTGTAATGTATTATTTAAAACTTAAACTAATTGGTTTGTTGTAGTTTTTAGCATGCAATCCAGTACCTACTGTAGAATGTATCTTTGCAATGGACAGTATTTTCTAGATTGCTGACACCTTTAAATGTTGGAAATCTAATTCATTAGAAAGCTCTCATTCAGATCTAGATTCCTGAGGCTGGCTGAACAGCACAAAACCAAAATGAGCCAGAGCAGGAGCCTAGCATTTACAGGATTTATAGCCTGAAAACATCATTTGGGTTTTGATACATAGAGCCATTCATCCCACTCAGCATTGTGCCATGTGAGCCTTATTCTTTAGAGAAATAATTATTAAATAAATCAGTTACTCTAGATTTAAAAATTATTAGGTTTTTTAATTTGAGTAAAGAACAGAATAGTTATTATCTACCAAAGACTCATATGCTTATGAATCATTTAACCCTGAAGCGTGTTTGTAAATTATCAATGTATTTCAGGTATACTTTAAAAATAATTTGGGGGCGAATTATCCTCAGGAGAAAGTATGGTAGTGTTTTTTGATATCCAGCAATTTAAGACAAATTTAAGAGACTTAAGAGATTTGAGATTGAAGTTGTATGGAAATTATTTTTTAAGAAGTTTTAGTCATAGGATATATAAAAACTGGGAATTTGATTGAGATTTTTGATGCCTGTGCTGTAGTGCCTCAGCTCTAGAATTGCAGAATATATAACAAGAATATTTGTAAACAAATAAAAAACCCTCTTGAGATTACCAGATCAAAGCAGTCTTTTGGTCTGGTAAAGCCTTTTTAATTTTTGTGGTAATACTAGTTCAGTAATATAGTATGTGCACATTAATTGTATATCCCTTTTGGTCCATACAGTGACTATTAAAGCATACTCTGGTTATCTGTAACACCTAATAAAAGCTATAAATTTTCTCTTCTTGGAGGAGGCTTCCATTGTATTCTACTTTTTGGCCATAAGGATAAGAACAGCTTCCAGGTTAGCTTGCCAGACTCAAACAGAGCTTTAGGATAGAAGGTTCATTTTTTTTTTTTTTTTTTTTTTTTTTTTTTTTTTTTTTTTTTTTTTTTTTTTTTTTTTTTTTTTTTTTTTTTTTTTTTTTTTTTTTTTTTTTTTTTTTTTTTTTTNTTTTTTTTTTTTTTTTTTGTTTGTTTTGTTTTTTGGAACTTCACTATATGATTTCTGCTTTCGAATGCCAGTGCTGGGCCAGGTCAGTCTGTACAGAATACTCTGCCAAAAGAAAGAGTGCTACTCACCATACCTATGGACAAATCATGGAAAACATTTCATTTAGCATGTACAAAAGTGGACCAGATGGTGGTTTACATCTGACATGACTTAATATATTTGTATTTCTTATAACCTTTCCTAAAGCGGTCATGTGTTCCTAATATAATGTGTGAATCAATACCTTCAATAAACATCATGCTACACTTTGCTGCAGCTCCTCAGAACCAGCGTGTGTGCTCTGCGGGTGAATTACGGGCTGCATCCCCCGCCCAGCTCCAGGTAGTGCCGTAGGTGGAAGCAGTTATCCCTTTCACCTGTGAAACCGCAGCAATTTGCTTTGTGGTCAGACCGGTGGTTCTAATAAGTGTCAGTTAGTGACCTTGAGCTCCTGCAAGCCCTGCTGTGGCAGCACCTGCAGCCTTTTAACCAGCAGGGCTGCCCGCCCCTCACCTGGCCCTGCCGCCCGGGCTCCGCTCACGGAGCGCGGCCCCGCACGTCTTCGGTAGCGCAGCGAGATCCCGGCGCTGGGCGAGGAGCGCCGAGCTCCTCCTGCATCAGTAACGGCACCTCCGGAACCCCGCTGCCGGTCAGTCAGAAGTATCGCCCTTTTCCTTTATTGTTCCCCGCGGTAATTACAGATACACGGTTTTGCACTTAATTAGTCGGGAGCGGGGCCGGGACCCGGCACGGGAGGCCGGCGAGGGGCGGCCCCGGGCGGGGCTGGGCGGCGGCAGCGCCCATCGGCTCCGGGGCTGCGCGGACCGCGCCCCGGCCCTCGTACTGCCCCGGCGCAGGGACGGGCTCGGAAATGCCATTGTTAAAAATTACAAAGAATTCACGCCTTATTTGAGGACCAGAGCAAGGCAAATACCTTTTTGAAACCATTGCTTAAATGATGTTGGAGGAAATGTTACTTGAAGTACATCAGAAGGACACCTATTTGTAGACCTTGGCCTTGGGTTATTGTCCTACCTAGAAAGAATATCTTATTATACAAAATCTAGCCTCTGAGTGCTGATTCTCTGTACTGAAAAGGAAACAAATTACTCTAACATTTGTTTAAAATTTTTAAAATTACATCTAAAAGGTTCCTTACCTGGTTTAGGAATTCTAGAACAAATTCACTTTATATATAAAATCTTAAGTTTATGGTTTATTACTTTCCCTGTATATTCAAGTGAAAATATTAAAAATATGCCCAGAGGGATATGGACAGGTTGGACTGGTCAGCAGAGACCAAGAGTATGAGATTCAACTAAGAGAAATGCTGATTCCTGCCCTTGGGTCAGAGCAAACCCCTGCAGTGCCACAGGCTTGGGGCAGACTGGCTGGAAAGGGACCTGGGGCTGCTGGCCAGCAGCTGCTGGGTACAGGCCAGCACAAGCCAAGAAGGCCAACGGCATCCTGGCTGATATGAGAAGTAGCATGGCCAGCAGGACTAGGACAGTGATTGTCCCCCAGTCCTTGGCACTGGTGAGGCACCTGGAGTGCTGTGTCCAGTTCTGGGCCCCTCCGTGCAGGAAGCACGTGGAGGTGCTGCAGGGTGTCCGGTGGAGGGCAGCGGAGCGGGTGAAGGGTCTGGAGGGTAAATCCTCGGGGGAGCAGCTGAAGGAGCTGGGGTTGTTTAGCCTGGAGAAGGGGGGAGGAGGGGGCGCACAAGAGGCACAATATCTCTCTGCAGCTCCCTGAAAGGAAGGTATAGCCAGGTAAGGTAGGGTCAGGCTGGTCTCCCAGGGAGCTGGTGACAGGACAAGAGGACATAGTCTCAAGCTGTGCCGGGGCAGTTCAGGTTGGACATTTGTGGGAATTTCTTCAGAGAAATGATTCGACATTGCAATGGACTGCCCAGGGAGGTCACCTGGTGACTGCTGAAGTCAAAATCCCAGGAGGTGTTTAAGAAAAGGCTGAACATGGCACTTGGTACCATGCTCTAGGTGACATAGTGGTATTTGGTCACAGGCTGGACTTGATTTCGGAGGTCTTTTCCAAATTAATTGATTCTGTGAAAAGACTGAATTGCATTGACAGTTTAGCATCGAATTTAGGTGCTAGCAAATATAAGTATTTGCAAGTTTCTTTGCATGCATTTTTAAAACAGTTAACTTGAAGCTGTTGCAACGGGAATCCATTTTCAGGAGGAAATAATTTGTTGTTAAATGGCATTCTTACTGGCAAATCTTCCACTTTAGCATTTGCTAAAAACATTCATAATTTTTTCTGTATGTGGTAAAATTCCCATGTGTTAGATTGTTATTCTGCATCTGTGTTCTTTGTTCTCTGCCAGCCACCTCTGTGCAGTTCCCTACATTATTGAAATCTCTTGTTAACATAGAAGAGTCTTTGTTAGTGTGTAAATACCTGTAGCACTTTAGGACTCTTAAGGAAATGGGGGTAATTTTACCTTTTACGTATATGAAACAGAAGACTCTGCTTGCGGGGAATCAAGGCAGATGAATTCTTGATGTTTTTAACATATCCCCATTTCTTTAAAACAAAACCCAACATTTTTGCAGAAATGAAATCTATTAATACTGAAGTGAGTCCTGCCCTCCTTTCAATAGCGATGCTCTAGCTTATGCTATAAAATAATGCAGTTCAGGCATTGTATGGCCCCAGGTACCCGCTGTGTGGCTCAGCCTGCTTTTGGCACCACGGAGTGAAGTGCAGCCCGTGCCTGGCTGCAGTGGTGTCTGACACGGGTGCCCAGAGCATGCCCTGCTGGCTCAGGTGGCAGCACAGCAGTCGGTCCCCTCTGTGCTGGCCCCTGTCAGGACTGATCAGCAGCGTGGGGAGGTCACCCCTGTCCTCCCTTCTGCTGTGCCCCCGCAGCACCGCTGCTCCCAGCTCCGGTCACACAGTGCCGCGGGAGGGATGGGTGAGACTGCAAAGCCTTTCCAGGCTGAGGGGACAGTCATGAGGTAGAACGGAGCCTGAAAAGAGTTTGAAAAGTAAGGGGATATGATGAGAAAAAAACACATTATCCTGGAGATGATTTCACATTTACAGTTTTCCTTGTGCCCACTTTTGTGGAAATTATTTGCTGTTATGGCAAATAATTCTGCCATGGCAGAACAGATGGTTTCACTTAATGCTATATATAATTTTTAACTAAGTGGTGCAGTGTCATCTGACTATCCTATATCATTAATACCCAGTCAGTTGTTCCTTACAAAATTCCCTATAATCCACTGTCTCCTTTGGAGGCTTATCAGAAGGACATAGAGGACCTTATTTTCTAAATACACGCTTTCAATTTCAAGATTAAAAAAAAAAGAAAAAGTCATCCAATACTTGTATTGCAAACTACGTAGTGCACAGATTTCTTGATCTGACCCGGGTATCACTCTGATTGTCCTTGCTCAAGAGGGGTGGGATTAATTTACTTTGCAAAGAGAAATACAGCTCTGAGTGATGCAAGTGGACTCAACAAAGGTGCATCTGGCACAAGAATAGACAAATGTGAAAACTCAAATGTGTTTCTAGGAGAATGTACCTGTGCTCTGAGCAGCCCTTGTGGGCATGCACCTCTCTGCTGAGTGCTGAATAGTCTTGCTCAAAATTGAAGCTGCTCTTGCAGCCCTGATGTTGTTTGCTTGTCCAGGGACTTGTGGGCCACATACAGCTACAGTCTCATTAGTTCTAGTGTTCTTTTGGTAAAATAACTGGTTTACAATGTCCTTTACAAAGACATTAAATTTGTCAAACAACTAAACATAGACAATGAGAAGTACTACAAATTATCCTGTCCAGAGATCTGGACTCTTTCTATTAACTAATGAACTGGGGGCACTGTGCAGTTCCAGACACGTTTTTTGGTAAATAGTTGGTAATCTCGGAGATATGTAAGTGTTGGAAGAGTTGGACTTTATTCCATCCCACCTATCCTTTCCCATTCAGCCCTGTTAGGTGATTGCAGGTGTTCTGCTGAGTCAGGCCTCTTTCCTCCCCATGCAGGGTTTGTACTCTTCATGGCTGTGATGTGCTTTTTCACACTTGTGTGGGATTCAAGCCATCTGATTTCTTTTATTCTGATTCAGAGACTGGACAAAGTAGCTGCATCAAAATGGCACAGTAGACAAGTGTGCTGTGGGGCAGTTTAACTTCAGGCACACTGTTGGTTGCTTTGGTGTTTAGTACATTATGCAGCCAGAGGCAACTGAAATCCTACTGGTGTGGTGAAAAATGTTCCTCTAGCACTTAAAATAACTTCTACAAGTATTGGTAAAATGGACATGACAGCATCTTTCCAAACTTTAATTCAGTTTATCTGTCGGATGGTTTGCCAGAGTAATCGTAATGACTGCCTAAAGCTGTGTGGTTGGATGTACTCACTAAACCTGATTATATGCCACACCTGGTGCTTTCCTGCAGGTTTTGCTTCTTCAAAACACTGGTGAAAACATCCAGTTCCAACTGCAAGCCACTTGGAACAAAGGTTTTGTGGTGCAATGGCAGTAAAGGAATTACTTGAGCACTACCAATGATGGTTTTTCTTACCTATTATTATTTTAATTATTTTCTTCAAAATTGTTGGGAGAGATTTTTTTCCTAACTTAACATTTTCTTGTTGCCAAGGCCAAGTGAGAGAACAGTCTAGTAATAATTACCCTGGCCTTTTTGTACTGGTAGTTATTGTTTCTGGGAAAATTTTATTCTGTTAACACTCTTCCATCAAATAATGCAGAAAACCCTAC